AAGGGCGATGTACTCCCATTCTTCCAGTCTCCAGCCCAGGCTGACCCCTCAGAACTGCCCACCACTGCCAGCCTGACCACTGATACTCTGATGTAACATATTCTCACATGTTAGAATCTTACATAAATGGGATCACAGTGTGTGTATGTGCATGTGTGTGTGCATGTGTACATGTGTGTGCATACATGTGTGCATGTGTGCAAACACATGTGTGCACATGGATTTGTGTGTACACGCACATGTGTGTACAAGTGTGTATGCATGTGCGTACACATGTTTGTGGTGCGTGTGCATGTGCATGCATGTGCGCACTCATGTGATGTATGTGTGTGCGTGTGTGTGTGCGTGTGTGTGCACATGGTTTGTGTACATGCACATGTGTGTGCGTGCATGTGTGTGCACATGTGTATGGTGTGTGCATTTGTGTGTGTGCGCGCGCTATTTTTCCTGACTTTCACTCGGCATAGTTTCTTTGAGATTTATTCCTTTTGCTTCGTGTAGTCTTGTTCATTTTAACCCAAACACAACCGGCTAATTAGAACACTATGGGTCCACCCATTCCCCTGCTGAACTCTGGGGCTGCTCCCAGGGGCTGGAGGAAATGAGCAAATAAAGCTCTCAGCAGATGTCTTACCTGCATTTCTCAGGGACGGATACCTATAGTACCGGGATGCCTGGCCGTGTAAGAGGGGAACGTGCCGAGCACAGCCAGGGGCCTGGTCACTTTAGGACAACGACGGCTTCCTCAGTTCATGCTCCCCCAGAGTGTTTGAGTCCCTCCCCGCTTCATCACCAGCCTTCACCGCTTCCCCCGGGGGGCAGTTAGAAGCATCTGTCTGGTTTCGCCTCCCAGCCTGGAAGGGCAATGTACTCTCTCAGACTTCTAGTCTCCAGCCCAGGCTGACCCCTCAGAACTGCCCACCACCACCAGCCTGACCACTGATACTCTGATGTAACATATTCTCACATGGTAGCCAGTGCTCCAGCGTCTCCCCATGGGTTTATTTGACATCATCCACACGGCTTCTTTGGTGAAGTGTCTTTGAATGAACAAATCATTGTGTCCCTTCTTACATAATTTGTCTTCTTGAGCTCTCTGATGTCTTTATGTTCAGAATACAAATCCTTTAACAGAAATTGGACTTGAAAACATTTTCTTCCAGCCCTTTAATTCTCTTGATATGCCCTCCAAAGAGAACTTCTTAATTTTAATAAAACAAGATGTATCCTGTTTTTTTTTTAGAAAATTGGGATTTTTTTTGGTGTGAAACAAATAAACAAACAAATCCCCTGAACCAAGGAGCAGTGTTTTTTTTCTAGATATTTTACACATTTAAAAATTGCTATCTGGGGGCCCGAGGGAGAGGAAGGCATTTGCCTTGCATGTGAATGACCTAGGTTCAACTCCCAGCACCCCAGCACTTCATATGGTCCCCTGAGCACTCCCAGGAGTGACCCCTGAGAACAGAGCCAGGAGTAAGCCCTGAGCACCACTGGGTGTGGCTGAAAAAAAAATGAAACTAAATAAATAAATAAATAAAATTGTTATCTGGGGTCAGAGAGATAGTACAGCAGGTAAGGTGCTTGCCTTGCATGGGGCTGGCCCAGGTTTGACCCCTGACACCCCAATATGGTCCTCTGAGTACTGCCAGGAGTCAACCCTGAGTACAGCTGGGTATTCCCCTCCCCCCAAAAAGTTAGTTTCCAAATATTAAGGGATGTTTAGGGATTTTCCAGATATCCTTTTGCTGTTGCTTCCTAACTCCGGGAAACAGGGTGTGGGCTGCTACTTTCCTTTCCCCCGTCTCTTACTTTGCTGTCTGTGTTTCAGGGACCCAGGTGTCACATGTGGCGGTCACGCTGGGAGTCCCCCTTGGCCATGTCGCTGGGTCACACTCAGCAGGGTCTAGAGCAAGAATGGAACCGTTACTTCATGCCAGCAGGCAGGTCTCCCATTGCCCGCCTTCCTTGGGAAGGTGTAGCTCACCTGTGTACTGAGGCTGGTGTTAGGGCCGGCTATAGTCTGTCCAGGTCAAGAGTCCCGGCACTCTTGAAACCACCAAACCCTGCTGTGTGGGGGTCTGGAATTACCCTGCAGGTCCAGTGGGTGGGCAGTGATGAGTTCTTCCCGGGAGCCAAAGTGTCAGTACAGCCCGACCTGCGATTTAAGAACTGATCTCTTCTTGGAAAAATGTTAAAATACATTGTGTAAGTTTCTGAGCTATGCCCAGGATAACTGCCGTGAGCCCACCATTAGGGCTCACATCCTGATTTATTGAAAATCTGCATGCTTTGTTAATTCCCCCATTTTGCCCACTTCCTCATGTAACCAATTATAAAAGGCTAGCTTGGGAGAAATAAATTTGGAGCTTGATCAGAGTCTTGGCTTGCTCCCATTCTTCTTTCTCTTTCTTTTTCCCACTCGTGCACCCTCTTCCGGTTATCCACGTTGACTAGTCCCGTGGGTCGGAGCAAGTTCTGTCAGTGCAGACATGTTTGAGCATCTTACGTTTCGTCCCTGTTGGGGTCTGAGGTTGCTGGCCCTTGCTCGCTTGGGCCCTGTTGCTTATACAGAATCTGGAGGGTGGGGGGTTCTCCTGGCTGCACGTCCAGAGCCTACTTTCTTTCCAACCCCTTTCTTTGTTCCTTTAAGCATACTAGTTCTTTTTTCACTACTTTTTTTCTTTCGTGGATGAGAAGCCTGTGTTGGCTACACCTGGCAGTGCTCAGGGCTGACTCATGGCTCTGAACTCAGGGATCACTTCTGGATGGGCTCGGGAAACCAAGTGGGTGTCAGGGATTGAACCCAGGTCGGCCATCTGCAAGGAGGGGCCTTCCCCACCGTCCTCTCTCCAGCTGGCTCTGGCTACTTCCGGGGCTTGCTCTTGGCCGCAGCTCCTGGGCAGTTCACCAGTGGAGTTAATGTGATGGTTCTTGTCCTTGGGTCCACTGAGCTTGGAGCTGTCAACTTACAATTTACATCAAATTGAGGGACTTTTATTTTTTTTGCTTTTTTGGGGTCACACTCAGCGATGCACAGGAGTTACTCCTGGTTCATGCACTCAGGAATCACTCCTGTTGGTGCTCTGGGGACCATATGGGATGCTGGGAATCAAACCCGGGTTGGCCACGTGCAAGGCAAACACCCTACCCACTGTGCTATTGCTCCAGCCCCCCAAATTGGGGGACTTTTAAAAAATTATTATTTTATATCTTTCTCTGCCTCCCACCCTGTGCTCTCACTAGGTTGCTCTGCTTCCTTGGACTCTCAGATCCTTTGAGAACCCGAGGCCTGTGTCCACTGAGGTTCTCTTTTTTCTCATTATTTTGCTCTCTCTGCATTTCGTCTTCGACAGTTTCCCTGGCCATGCTGGTCAGCTCACTTGTCTTTTCCCGCTGGGTGCAATGAGCATTTAATGCTATGTGGTGCATTCTTCTTCCTGTCCACTGAAGTTTCTGTCTGTGTCAGATGGATCGGGCATTCCCTCCCCCGTGGCCATCAAGAGGAATTTCTGATGCGTCTGAAAATATGATTTCAGTCATAAAAGCAGCAGGGTTAAAAATTAAATATATGAAAAGATTTCTATCGCATGCAGAGTGAAAGTATAGTGTCTAAAACGCTCGTCTTCATTTGAAAAATGGCAGCCGGGGAAGACTCTAATGATGGTGCTTATTGCTAAGTGCTGGATTTATGAGTGTCTTTATTGCTTTCTTCCTCTCTGACTTAGATCTTCGAGTTATCTACCGTAAGTGTTATATGAAGAGTGGAGTTGATTGTTTTTTTAGTTATTTTCAGTGTTTGAAATATTTGCTCTCCGTCAAGGCTCGGTCATCCTCCCTGACCATTTTTCAGAGATGAGTGTTGGGTCCATGCAGTCTCCCAGCATGGTCGGAATACCATGTCACAGGGACGGTGTCCCATGACCGTGTGGGACTGTGTCCGGGCCCAGCCTGACTTCCTAAAGGACACGCTGGACTCTGGGATGAGCCCTTGGTGCCAGGGGTCTGAGTACCTGAAGGTGTCCCTCTTCCTGGCCTCTCTGCTCCTCTTCCCTCCCCACACCGAGAGATCCAGAAACCCACGTGACCACAGTCAGCATCTGTCTGTCGCAAGAAAATGCAGCCTCTGCCCTGCCGACAGGCTGGTTCCTTACTGCTAGAGACCCTGGTTTCCAATGCCCGCTCAACGTTTCCTTTCACGCAGTCTGAGCGGGTTCCTGGGGCAACTGCCACAGCTGCGGGAAACACCAAGTGCTCAGCGACGTTATTTTCTGGTGCCTCGAGCCCCGCCCCCCAGACTCTAGAGTCCGTGACAGATAAGTGAGTAACAGGCCTTTCACTTTTTCCTGGTGAAATACCCAGTGTTGGGTGAATCAGATGTGCCCAAGAGGGCGGGCGAATCCCAAGGAAATCCATGGCCGCTGCCAGGTGCCAGGCCTGGGGTTAGGATGGACACTGCTTCCTCTTGCCCCCGGGGCCTCGTGGGCAGGGCCTGGGGGTCTCCCAGGGAGTCATTAAAGACAGGGTAACTGGGGTTCTGCAAGCGGGAGTGAACGGAGGGTCTCAGCGGCTTCTCTAGGCTGCCGGGCGGCCACGTGTGCTGGTTCCTTCCCCCTTCCCTCCTGCAGCCAGGCCCTCTGCTCACCATGACTGGACACCAGGCAAGTGTGGGGGGCTGGGGGCTCCTGGCCCAGACAGGCCCCCATCGCAGCTTAAGCTGGCCCGGCTCCTGGCCGCCCACCAAGCCTGCAGACCCCACCATGCCTGGCCCCCCACCTCCCTCCTTCTGCCCATCTGCAGCCTTGGAACCATCTACCCTGCCTCTCCCCCAACAGCACGCACCCCCCACTCCGTGACTCCACATGCCCCCGAGGCCGGGACACGGGGCCCCTCCTGAGGACACCTCCGATGCCCGTGTGTGTCTGTGCTCTGAACCAGGGGCCCTCGGCGGCACTGAGGCTCATGTCACAGCTGTGACTGTCCCCCTTGTGTCTCCCCAGAGGTGGCAGGTGCGCCAGTGTCGGAGATCTCCGGACCCTTCTCCACGGACGATGTGGCAAGTAACTGCGTGCCCGCACTGCCCCCGCAGGACCCACTGCTGTGGCTCGTCTCCTACGCACTCCTGAGCGTGTGCGGCCTCATCCTCCTCGTGCTGTTGGCCCTCCTGCTGCTGCCCCGGCCCTGCCGCCCCCTCCGGGGGGATGCTGAGGTGGTCAACGATGAGTCCTCACTGGTCCGGCATCGCTGGAAGTGAGGCTGCCACGGCTCGCGTGCCCATTCCGGCGCCGTCCCGCTCTCGGGGCCTTCCAGACTCACTGTTACTTGATTTTTAACACTCCCTTCTTCTCCCTTCCTTCTGAGAAATAAAACAAACACACCAAATCCTTCATTCTCAGCAAAAAAAAAAAAAAAAAGTGAATTGGGCTTCAGGTTTATGTTACTGGCTCTGCCAAACTGGTTAAGCGTGCCATCAACACACACACACACACACACACACACACACTCATACACACATACACACATTCACACACATACTCACACTCACACACATACACACACTCACACACATACATACACACTCACACACATACATACACACTCACACATACCTATACACACTCACACACATATACACACACATACACACTCACACACACATACACACACTCACACACATATACACACACACTCACATACTCACACACATACACACTCACATACATACACATACACACACGCTCACACACTCATACACATACACACTCACATACATACACATACACACACTCACACACACACATACACACACATACACACATTCACACACATACTCACATACATACACACACTCACACACATACACATACACACACTCATTCACACTCACACATACACACATACACACGTTCACACACTCACACACACTCACACACACACACACACACAGCCCAAAACCAGTGTCAGCGTCAGTGACTCCGGCCAGTTGGTCACGCGCTTGGCTCCCAGGAAGCACTTTCTCTCTGTCGCTTCTCGAGCCGGGTCTCACCCAGGCCATTCCTGGTGACTCACAGTCTAAACGGGCCCCTCTGCAGCTGGAAATGCTTTGGTGGGGTGTGTTTGCACCCACAGTGGGGCCGAGTCTTCTGGAAGACCCTCCCCCAGCAGCCTCCACCAGCCTCTCCGAGACAGAAGGCCTTTCATCCGCCGGGTCTCTGGAAGGACACGTTCTGCTCTTTGGCACCTCACACTGCCATAGGGTTGTGGGGACTGAAGTTCACAACTACCTCTGCTGTGTCCCTGTGGGGCCGAGGGCCGGGCAGCTGATTCCAGTCGTTGCCCTCCGCCCTGCGGAGAACAGCAGGTGCAGTGGGAGCTGGCCGCTCTCTGGCGACTGGTCACACCCCCACCTGCCCCCTCTTATAGTGAAGGAACCTTTCCTTAAGGGAACCCAGCTCTCTCTCTGGCGGCAGCTTTGCCCACATCTCTGCAGCTGGGGGGCGTGGGACCCTCCCAGAAAGCAGGGTGAGCGCTTTCGGCCTGAGGAGGCCATGGTAGGTGTGTGGAGGACATGTGACACCCACAGTCTTTGCTAGCATGAGTCTCCATTCACTGACCCCTGGGCCTGGGTCAGGCTCACCCACAGAGGAGGCTGCTGACCTCCACACCCCTTCCCTGCAGCCTGTGGAACTTCGGGGATGAGCAAGGTACGTGCCGCTGGCCTGGTCTGTGCCAAAGCGCCACCACTGATGTCACTCATTTGACCACCTTTGCCAAAGAAAAGCCAAAGACTTGGTCTCGATGCAGTGTCCTGCGCACCCATGCACTGAGAAGGCGAGTGAAGCCAGTCTTGCCTGGCGGAAGGTCTGGGCACACCAGGAAGGCCAGCGGGAGGGACGTCCAGCCTCTCAGCCTCGGGTCCATGCCTGCTCCCTGGGCTGTTTCCGCACCCACGGTTCCACCAGCTCATCTGCATGGTGGAGGAATTCACAACCATGCCGTAGAGATGTGGGGCCACTTAGCCAAGGCCTCATGTCCTTAGGCACCTGAGAGCCATGTGTTTCCCGTTGGAAAGAACAGGAGTCATCTGCTTAACAGGGTGCTGTCCACTGGCCGTGGGGACAGTGGCTCGGAGAGCTGGACTGGAGGGTCCTCTTAGTGGGTGCTCGTCATCCCCACTCATCATTTCAAAATACAATCAGAATTGGAAGTCTCCAGTGTTCAAATTCTCCCGGCCTTGGTGGCTGTGCTGGGCGCTGCCTCGCGGGATGTGAAGAGTGACCCCTTCCTACCCCCCGCTGTGAGAACTAAGGGTCCCTGAAATCAGGGGCCGCAGCTACAAGAAAAAGCCGGTTCGCTTGCTCCCAGGGGCTTCCACCAGCCCCTCCAGGGCTTGGGTTAGGTTCGGGAGCTGGGGCACCGTCTCCGTTTGGCAGGGATTAGCCGGCCCTACTCCCAGAACATGAGCTACTAGCAGGTTCAATCTCCAGCAAGGATATTTGTTGGGGTTTGGGTTTGGGGACCACACCTGGCGATGCTCAGGACTGGCTCCTGACTCTGTACTTAGAGATCACTCCTGGCGGGGTTCAGGGGACACATATGATGACAGGGATCAAACCCAGGTTGGCTGCGTGCAGACGCCCTCCCAGCTGTTCTGTCTCTCCATTCCCTGTGAGGATGTTTGAACAGTGTTCGCCATCACGGTCTTCAGTTCCTGTCAAGCTGCTCTACCCTTCCATCAGTCGCATGTGGTTGGAGACAACATTTTTATGTCACTGTTACTGTCCTCCCATTGTTCATCGATTTGCTCGAGCGGGCCCAGTAACATTGTGAAACTTGTTACTGTGTTTGGCATATCGAATATATCACGGGTAGCTTGCCAGGAAATACTTAAATCACAAAAGCCCAGTTTAGCAGCCGAACTAGGCACTGTGGAAGGGGGCCAATTTTTTTCTGGCAAGCTTCACTTCTGAAAATTGGACTTAGACTTGCTCTGTCTGGGGTACCTGCCTCCTCCAGCTACTCAAGGGACTCCTTCACCCGGCAGAGCCTCCGCGAGAATCACTTCAGACAGGAAATGAAGGAGCGTGGGGCCAGGGGTCACTGCCCTCGGAACCCACACTGGAAAGGGTCGGGAGAGAAGCCTCGTTCTAGAAGAAACAAGTTAGCATGAGCTTGTCAAAACCTCATCGGCCTGCTGACGGGAAGTGGAGCTTTCCTCATGAACAGTATGTCCTGCGGATAGGGTGGGGTACAGGGTGTGTGTGTGTGTGTGTATGTGTGTGTGTGTGTGTGTGTGGCACGCTTATGTGTAAACACTTTCTGTTCTTGTTAATTTATTCCAGAGCCTGGAATCCAAGTCTGTCTCCAGCAACTAAAGATGTTTATGAAAAGACGCAGAAAGTGTGGGGAGGCCTACAGCCGCAAGGGTGCCTGCCTCGCACATGGCCGACCAGAGCTCGGTCCCTGGCACCCCAAAGTATCCCTTGAGCCCCTACCACAAGCGCTCCCTGAGCAAACAGCTAGGAGGAAGCCCTGAGCACTGCTAGTGGTGGCCCAAAAACCAAAATAAAAATAACAAGAAATGAGCTAGGGACTGAGTCTCTGGACTGCCTTGGACATTTAGAGGAACCCTGGTCAGGGCACTGAGTCTCTGGTCTGCTTCGGGCTTTTAGAGACACTCCAGCCAGCCGGGTCAGCCTAAGTGGAGCCCATACAGACATCTTTTCTCTGAATGCAGAGCAAGTGCCTGGCCATCCCAGGCTCCAGGTCCTGGCAGGTGACCACAGGGGATGTTTTCCTGAGCACAGCCAACTCCCAAACTCCAGGAAGGGTTTTTATCTGACTCGTGATAGAACAGAGGCCTGCCAGAGATAAGTGTGGGGTCAGCCACGGTCCAGGTCTCCCAGGGGGAAGCCGTCCCCGCCCTGAGCTCTGGGCAGCCCGGCTGGCCTGGCATCTCTTGATTGGGGGCGTTGCAGTGTCCGGGTGAAAGGGGGAGGAAGGATTGTTTTTCTTCTCTGATCCCCTGGAAGGAAATGTGTTAGATTTCTCTGACCAGGCTCCCACACGGAGGAGTCGCCCAACTCTGCCAGTTCTGGCCTCTTGCCTCCTGGGAAGTGAGTGAGTGAGTGAGTAAGCACCAAGCCTGTTCTCTAAACAACGGTAATCGAGTTTCACACTCTTGGTCCTTATTAGTGGAAACCAAATAATTGGGTGGAACACCAGTGTGCTTTTCACCCAGCAACTTAGTAGGACTGAGTACTGGCCCCCCTCTGTGGAAGGACTTGCCACTAAGTGTTGTTGTTTTTTTTTTCCTTTTTGGGGGTTGGGGGTAAGGATTAAACACCTTGGAATATGAGACTGCAGGTTTTGCCAGTAGAGATACTAGATTTTTGTGTGTGTGTGTGCCAGGCAAACTCCGTACAACAGAAGTTCTTGTGTACGTTTGTGTTTTTAGATTTCATATCTGAACTTTTGGGAGTTTCCCAGAAAAACAGCAATCAGGGAGCAAATACAACTCTGAGGGTGGGAAAGGAAAATTCAGATGGAACCAAAGTATGTCAACAAAATCAGCAGAATTAACTCTCTTGGGAAAGTATCTTTAATTCCAAGATTCCCCTGATCTCTTTCTGTCATTAAGTTTTCTGAATCAAATGAGGTGGGCGTTCTTGAACCTATCTGAAGCTTCCAGAATATTCTAGCTGGAGTCAGGCGTGGGATGTTAGCAAAGATGCACATTGAGAAAATGTGGCATCTGGCGCTTCGCGTTGCCTGAGGCAGGTGAAGACCACTTCCTTGCAGGAAGAGTCGCAAGTGGAAAGTTCTAGAACCTGGGAAGGGAGGGGGGGGATCAGATGTTATCTCCTTGGTGTGGGCAAGTGAAGAATGCCCCTAGGACATCTGAGGCAGCTCAGCTAACCCTGAGCTTTCAGCATGAACCCCCCCCTTTTAGGGGATCCCCAAAAAATAAACCTCAGGATTTCTCATCTATTAAGAGGCAGCATCTAGATTGGACGCTCGCTTTGCCACCATCCCTAGAAGAATCCGTTTAAGCCAAAGTAGACAGACCGGAGCCCAAGCAGGCTCGAGTGGACACGGGCGACTTGGGGGCTAAGGCTGGGAGCCGTGGGAGGGACTGGCGGTCCCCTGAGGAGACAGGCTCCTCCACCCAGCCACTGCTCCCCAGGTCCCAGACATGCTTCTGAACAGAGCTTGGGAGGGGGCAGGAGGGTCCCCTGGGTGCCTCAGCCTCGGGCCCTCAGCCCTGTGTAGGGCCAGGCTCTGCCAAGGTGGGAGGCAAACCACAGCCACATGGGCAGGAGATGGGGACAGTCCGGGGCCCTGGTGGCCAGGCGGTCACCTCCCATCCTCAGCTGTGGCTTCTAAGCAGGGGTTACCCACAGGGGGCCCAGGTATCCCAGTCACACCACACCCTGGCCTGGCTCCAGTGCATGTATCATGGCCCAAGGCTAGCCCAAGAGATGCACGTTCCAGCCCCAACCTAGAGAAAGTGCACCAGCACACGAGGGTGCCTGATGTGGCAAGTCTGGGTGTGTCCCATGGTCCGGGGTGGGCTTTCTCGCACCCCTCGCCCCCATATCTGGTCAGACCCATGCCCCGGGCAGCAAAAGTGGGTGAGCAGCTCTTGGATGGAGAACTATCAGCATGGGGTTCGTGGGGCACAGAGTAAGGTGTGTGCCACACACACGGTCAGAGAGAGGCCGTGGCTGTGGAGCTCTGCAGCAGAAGTTCTGGAGATTTCTGGAGAGTTCACAGCTGTGCAGCAAGCGGCCACCCTGGTCTCGGGGCCTCGTGAAGCAAAGCCTGTCTCTACCGTGGGTGTCTCTGTATCGAGGCTGGCTGGGGGTGTGCGTGCGGTTCCTGGGGACAGATGGAACCGCCCTCTCGGGGCTCCCACCCTGGATATCACATTTCCCAGGGGACTGTCTTTGTGCAGGAGGAAAGTGGAGAACATACCAGAAGCGGCCCCACAAAGCTAGTGAAGAGTCTCTTTCCCCGATCCTGAGACCGCCCCCCACCCCCCCACCTCCCCACCCCCCGCCAGCATGGGTGTCCTCCCCACCGCTCTGCCTCCACGTGTTCCTCACTGCACTGGGAACAATTTGGAACTGTCGTTTGCTCGTTTTCTTCAGGGCCTGAGGTATGCCTCACGCTGCTCCCGGTGGCTTGTGACTCTGTCGAGCCTTGGGGTCCATTAGAAGAGAATGAATACACCTGCCCTGTGCTAGCCAGCGATGAGGTGTTGCCATCTAAAGTGATGCATTTCCTGCCATTCTGGCTATTTTGCAGTTAAATGTACTTTAAATGAATGGCCTCTGTGTCCAGCCACGGGACGCAGTGCCTCATCCTCTCTTTACAAGATTGACTTGCTGCCCCCCTGGAGATGTTTCCTGCCTGTGGGAGAGGGGCAAGCGGGACTTTTCCGAACCTGACACTGCTGGCTTTGAGTGCTTCGTCAAATGCGTTTATGTGCCTACCGTGAATTAATCGCCTTCTGTATGTAATTCTAACATGTCACGTGCAGTGCTAGAGATACTCAAACATTTCCCTGAAGGCATCCTCACAGTGTCTAGCTTCTCTGCCGCCAGCAATCAGGCTGGCTGAGTCGGGGTGGGCCCCTCCGCGGGCTCTCTGCCGTGCCACAGGGACCCCGTGCGTTCCTGCAGGAGTTTCCTAAAGGAACCTTATTTTTCTACTTCTGCTCTCTGTCCATTGAAGAGCTCCACCACCGAGAAAGGAAATCAAAGTGGGGGTTGGTCGGTTGGTTGGAATAAAAGTGCTTCTGATTTAATTGGGCTTGGAATTTTCTTTTTTGAAGGCTTATTCCAGGTCACAATTCTGCAGTGACAGTGAGGGGTGTGTCATTGCAGGGAGGAGAGTGGTCAGCTCCTGGAAGGACCAAAGACGGGGTGGGCGTTGGGAGGGTCTGTGCAGCCGTTAAATGGGAATAGGAGAGGACTGGGGTTCTTTGTTTTATTTTATTATTATTATTATTATTGGGCTGCGCTGGAGCGATAGCACAGTGGGTAGAGCGTTTGCCTTGCAAGCGGCCAACATGGCAGACCTGAGTTCGATTCCTCCACAGCACCTGTATTTGCAGGCAAGAGACCAGCCCTGAGTCCTGCCCTGGCAGCTGGAGGCACCCGGTTCTGAACACCGGCCAAAACCAGGCTCCCTGGGGTCACAGCTGGCTCAGGTGCACAGCCATGCAACCCCTTCCAGCTGTGTGGCACAGCATCTGTGCAGGAGGTGCCCACCCCAAGGGGTCAGTCTCCAAAGGGACGCACCCAACGGGTGCCTCACTAATAGGGGCCAAGTGCCTCACTAACCATGCCAAGTGCCAGGGGAGTGGACGCCTCTTTCGGTGACCAGGCAGGCCCGAAGGGGCCTCAGCCCCATGGAGGTGCTGGGCAGCTGCGGGGCAGTGTGGGAGAGCGGCTCGCTGCGGGAAGGGAATCCTTTCCCTCTGCCTTCAAAGTTGGTTTCCGCCGTTGGCCACCTGCTGGCCACGGGGCGCGGGCGTGGGAACACGCTTGTGTCACTAGGTGGCGCTGTTGTAAAGCGTCACATCCGCGTTCCCTTCATCCTGAGCAGCTCCCCCCATCCCACTCCACCCCACCCTACCCCTGTGACCCCAGGGACCACTCCCCCACCCCCCAACCCCGTGCTTCCCAGACAGAACCCGCAGTCAGGGCGGGGTAGCTAGCGGCAGAGCTCTTGCACATATAAAACCCTGGGGGCCATGTCCCAATAACCACAAAAATAATGAGATTTTGAAATATGCTGACGTGGACGCCGTATCGTGTACATGGCCAGCCCCAGTTGGAAACTTAGCACTGCAAAGGGTCCCCTGAGCCCCACCAGGACTGATCCCTGAGCACAGAGCCAGGAGCAAGTCTGGCCGGGTGTGACCCCCCCAAACAGAACCCAAAATGCTAACGAAATGGAGATACTGAGAGGGGCGGGGCGGAGTCTCTCCAGTATACAACTCAGACTCTGGCTTTGGCTGTGGAGCAGAGAAGTAAACTGAGTCACGCCAGGGTGTCCAGGTCTCTGGGGTTTTTTTCTGTGGAGGCAGCATGGAGTGGACAGACAGGGTTGCCACGCTGTTTTTTTTATAAGATTAACACTTGGAAATTGGTTATTTGTTTGTTTTTAATGTCCGTGTACTGCTATTTATTCAGCCATTGATTTAAGCTGATTGAATTGGGCATGAACTCCACAACACTTGGAAATTCTAAGGGGGAAAAAAACTGTTTAAATGGGGGAGAAATGAAAATGCACCCAGGGAGGGCACTTGGGAGCACTGTGATACACAGAAGGTTGGGAGCGAACATTCACTGCACAGAAAAGTGCATGTTAGGAGCCAGATACAATGAAGCCCCCGCACCCCTACAGTGCCCCCAATCTCAAATCAATCCCAGCTCCCCCTCCCTGTATCCAGAGCCCAGAGGACAGGCCCCCCACCCCGCCAGCAGTCTGAAACCCCCCCACCTTGAAGGTCCCGGACTCAGGATGTGGTACGTCACCCACAATCACCACAATCTTCCAGTTTCGTTTCCGTGCAGCTCGTGGTTTCGTTCCTCTCCGGGGGAGGAGCAGCCTCCACTCACAGCAAATAAAAGGGCAGTGGATGGGACAGAGAGAAGACCCTGCAGGTTCCTGTCTGGAGACGGCCAGGTAAGAGGGGTGAGCAGTGAGCGGTGCCAAGGCAGCCAAGCCGCAGACGAGGCTGCCCCGTCGAGCTTGGCCGGCAGCCAGCAGCCTCCTATGGCAGGGCTGTAAACAAGTGCTGTCAACGCCCAGCCCGCTCGGGGCCCAGCCAGCGGGGAGACGGGGACTCCACAGGGCTCCAGAAACAGGGCTGAGGGCCCAAACCCCAGGCAGCCCCTTCCCAGACCCAGACCCACGAAGGGTTGCCTTTGGGGGTAGGAATAAAAACTGCCATAGACCCGGGGAGCCGGCAAACTCCGCCCCACCCCTCGCACTGGCCCCCACGGCTTCCCAAGCCCATCCCTCTGTCCCCTTAATGAGGTGTCCAGCCACCAGGGCCCGGGCGTCCTGCCAACGCTCCCCTAAACCACCTTCAGCCACAGCCTCTGGAGGGGCAGCGTGGAGCCAGGATCCAGCCCCAGCAGAGATTCAATCCTGAAGGTCCCAAATCCCAGCTGGGGGCACAGAGATGAGGGTGGCAAAGCCCCCGTATCCTCCCCTGCCCCGGGGTCCTCCTCCACCTTACTAGGGGCTCCCCGAATTAAGGGGTGCTCTGCAACCCCAGAGCCCAGAGCAACTGTGGGGAACTCCCCACCTCTTAATCTGTTGCCCAGGTCACCGCTGGACCTTTGGGGCATGGTGAGGGTGATCCCAATAGCCTTAGGGGCAGTAGGGGCATGGGGGGAGTGCTATGGGCGGAGAAGCAGAAACTTGTCCAATGGGGGGGGGGCGGTGTGGCAGGGAACTGGAGCCCCAATTGGGGATTCAGACTGATGTGGGGGCTTCAGCACCTTTTGCTGGCAAAAGAAGACATGGAGACAGGGAGATACGGGTCTTAGTGCAGACAGGGGCACCTCCAGGGGTCTCAGTGCAGACAGGGGCACCCCCAGGGGTCTCAGTGCAGAAAGGGGCACCCCCAGGGGTCTTAATGAAGACAGGGGAACCTCCAGGAGTCTCAGTGAAGACAGGTGCACCTCCAAGGGTCTTAATGCAGAAGGGGCACCCCCAGGGGTCTCAATGCAGACAGAGGCACCTCCAGGGGTCTCAGTGCAGACAGGGGCACCCCCAGGGGTCTCAGTGCAGAAAGGGGCACCCCCAGGGGTCTTAATGAAGACAGGGGCACCTCCAGGAGTCTCAGTGAAGACAGGGGCACCTCCAAGGGTCTTAATGCAGAAGGGGCACCCCCAGGGGTCTCAATGCAGACAGAGGCACCTCCAGGGGTCTCAGTGCAGACAGGGGCACCTCCAGGGGCCTCAGTGTAGATAGGGAGCACCTCCAAGGGCCTCAGTGCAGACAGGAGCACCTCCTGGGATCTCAATGCAGACAGGGATCCCCTGCAGGGGTGTCGGTGCAGTCAGGGAGCACCTCTAGAGGCCTCAGTGCACAGGGAACACCTCCAGGGGCCTTGGTGCAGAAAGTGAGCACCTCCAAGGGCCTCAGTTCGGACAAGGAACACCTCCAGGGCCTCAGTGCAGACAGGGAGCACCTCCAGGGGTCTCAATACAAGACTGAGGGTGCTGGCCCAGCCCAGGAGGGGCTCCCCTCCCCACACACACAGAGCAACTGGCCCTAGTTACAGGAACTGTCTTCTGCAGAGCAACTGGCCCTAGTTACGGGAACTGTCTTCTGCCAGCAGGTGTGTCTGCATGGGTGCTTTGAGGTCCAGGCCCCCACTGCAGACTTTGGGGTGTGAGTCCCTCACGGCGGTTTCTGGGGTTCGAGCACAGAGGAAGACTGGTGACAGGGGGCTTCAGTGGCTGCAGTGGCTGACCTCACCACCCCCCACCCGTCATTAGCTCAGACCTCCAGCCTCTCCAGGCTCCGACCCCCTGAGCACCTGCTCCTCTGCTCCCTCCGTGAGTGCCCCCTGACATGCTGCCTGGCCCTGATGGAATCAGGACTGGGGGGAACACAGCAAGGGAGGCCCAGAGTGGGGATGCAGGGTCCACCCTGAATGGAGCCTCCTGTCATGCAGCCTTCAGGTGCAGCCCTTTCTCCTGACCCCAACTACCGAGCAGGATGAATTTCTCCCAGCACCAGGCTGGCCAGGGACAAGCCGCAAGCCGGCAGTCAAGGAGCCGGAGTCAAGGGAGCTCCCAGAAGACCCAGGTGAGTGGAACGAAGACCTGGGGGGAGGGGTACTCCCAAACTTGGAGGCGGCCCTGCGCCCCTCCCCAGGGTCGCCATGCCTCTCCTCGGCGGGTGTCTGTGGTCTCTCTGTGTGGGGTCTCTTTCCTGGGCGGTCCCAGTCCCTGCTGTCCCTTCCCACAGCCTGTCCTGTGGGTCCAGCACCCCTCCACGTTTGTCCATCGGTCTCACTGGCCACCCTCATCCCAGGCCCCCAAGCCCCACCCAGCACGCCAAGCCTGTGGCACTGGCACACCTGCCCTGGCCTCTCACGGACGCCTCCTCCCATCCCTCACGGCTCCTGCGGTCAGTGCCCTGCTCCGTGTCCCCACAAACTGACTCTCAGCATGACCCTCCACTCCCTCCACCTGCTTGCAAAGGGCAGGCGGGGCCTCTGCTCAGCTGACCTGTCCACCATCCCTAGCATCTGCCTGGGCAGGGGCAGCTGGGAGGGGCCCATCTGTGCCTCTTGTCTTCTTGGGGTGCATACCCCAGAGTGAAAACCCTGGGTCCTGTGGGAGTCCCACATTGTGTGTGTGCATGTGTGTGTCCGTGTGTGTCCATATGTGTGTGTCCATGTGTGTCAGTGTGTGTATCCATGTGTGTCCATATGTGTGTGTCACGTGTGAGTGTTCGTATGTGTGTTCGTATGTGTGTCTGTGTGTGTCCATATGTGTGTGTCTGTGTGTGTCCGTGTGTGTATCCATGTGTGTCCATATGTGTGTGTCACGTGTGTTCATATGTGTGTTCGTATGTGTGTTCGTGTGTGTCCATATGTGTGTGTCTGTGTGTGTCCGTGTGTGTATCCATGTGTGTCCATATGTGTGTGTCACGTGTGTTCGTATGTGTGTTCGTGTGTGTGTCTGTTGTGTCTGTTGTGTCTGTGTGTGTCCGTGTGTGTGTCCAGGTGTGTGTCTGTGTTCGTGTGTGTCCGTGTGTATGTGTCGGTGTGTTGTGTGTCCATGTGTGTGAGAACTCCTGGTGCAGGGACCTTCCCACTCCTGGGAGCCCTGGTGACCTTGTAAGTAGAAGGAAAACCACAGCAGAATGGCCATGGGGCCTTTAGGAACCAGCTGTGCACAATCTTGGCCTTGCCAGCCATGCCCAGCCCTCAGGCCAGGCCCTTTCCCGGGCTACACCCATCCCTCAGGGCACACCCCGCCCTGTGGCCACGCCCAGTCCTCGGGCCAGGCCCTCCCCCCCAGCTACACTTCCCTTGGGTCATGCCCAGCCCATCTGGAGCCCAGCTCTCTGGCCACGCCCATGCCCTGTGGCCACGCCCAGCTCTCCCCCCCCCAGCTCCCTGCGGCGCCCCGGCCACGCCCATGCCCCTGCTCCTCCTCCCCTCCTCCCCTCCACTCCCACTCTCCGGGGCTGCGCGGCTGCAGCCCCCAGCTCTCCAGGCTGAGAGCCTGAGGGCGGAGGCTGAGCCGGCTCCTGCTGCCCACAGGCGCCCAAGAACTTGTACAGCCAGTATGAGGAGAAGGTGCGCCCGTGCATCGACCTCATCGACTCCCTGCGGGCACTGGGCGTGGAGCAGGACATGGCCCTACCCGCAATCGCTGTCATCGGGGACCAGAGTTCTGGAAAGAGCTCCGTTCTGGAGGCCCTGTCGGGGGTGGCCCTCCCCAGGGGCAGCGGTGAGCACAGGAGACACGTGGACAATCAGGGAGGGGGCAGCCAGAAGCACGGTCAGGGTCCTGGACAGCCGCGAACAGGGCTGGGCGCCCCCCACCAGCCCCCCACGTTTGTAGCCCTCTGGCCAGAGCATCAGATCTGGGAGCCTCCCGCTTCTCTCTGGCGGGCTGTGAGCAAGTCTTAGGGGGACTCAGCAGTAGTCCAGCGGGCGAGAGGCCTGGCTTCCAGCCTGGGACCATGGCAGAGCACAAAGCAGAGCCCTAAGGCAGTTGTCAGCACCCAGGGATTGCACCCCGGGACCCCATCGGCTGGTCCTGCCCTCCTTCACTCACTGCCTTCTCGTAGACCCCCAACCCCCAAGACTGGGAGCCCCCCAGACCTCCGAGGTTCCCCTGAGCTTTCCCAGCCCGGTCCCAAGGGAGTCTGGGCTGAACCTCGTCTCTGCGTGTACCCCCTAGAATGCCCCTGATCTCCCCAAGAGCAGGACACATACAAGTCACCATCCTTGAGCCCCCACTCCTCTGTCCAGACCCCTGGGCTGAGGGTGGGGGCAGGAGAGAGCCAGGAGAAGGCAGGGTCTGGCAGGAAGCTGAGGCACGGGCTCTACCACCCAGGAATCGTGACCCGGTGCCCACTGGTGCTGAAGCTGAGGAAACTGACAGGGGGCTCGTGGAGCGGGAAGGTGACCTACCGGAACACCCAGCTGAAGCTGGAGCACCCCTCCCAGGTGGAGAAGGAGATATGCAGAGGTGCGCCCCTCCCCCAGCTCCGCGACAGGGGGGATGATCCGGGAGAAACGCTCCAGTGTAGAAGGGAAGGCATGGGGACGAGAATGGAGAGGAGACCAACAGGCTGGTGTAGATGGGATAAACACGCAGGTGTAGACAGGACAGTGATGGAGATGGACAAACAGTCTGTGTAGACGGGGATAGACAGGCTGATGGAGAAGCGGGTAAAGAGACCACAGGCTGGGGGCTGGAGCAATAGCACAGAGGGTAGGGCGTTTGCCTTGCACGCAGCTAAACTGAGTTCGATTCCCTGCATCCCATATGGTCCCCTGAGCACTGCCAGGAGTGATTCCTGAGTGCAGAACCAGGAATAACCCCTGTGCATTGCCGGGTGTGACCCCCCCCCCAAAAAAAAGAGGCCACAGGCTGACGGAGAGCTGCGCCAGTGAGGTGGCCATGAGGCTGCTGCAGGCTGTGGCCAGGCTCCCCGAGCCCAGGTGCTGGGAAGACTCGGATGCCCAGAGTGGGGGCTCACTGGCACTGCTCCCCACTTGCCCCCAGCCCAGGACCTCATAGCTGGGAGAGGCGTGGGCATCAGCCACGAGCTCATCAGCGTGGACATCAGCTCCCCCGAGGTGCCCGACCTGACGCTCATTGACCTCCCAGGCATCACGCGGGTCCCTGTGGGGGACCAGCCCCAAGACATTGGCCTGAAGGTGAGTGTGCAGAGCTGGGAGGGACCCCAGGCTCCCAGGCATGGCCCTCCCTGTGTGTGTGGGTGACGGGCGTGGCGGCCCCTGTGTGCCCTGTGACCCCAGGTCAAGACTCTCATCCAGAAGTACATCCAGAGGCAGCAGACCATCAACCTGGTGGTGGTCCCCTGCAACGTGGACATTGCCACCACCGAGGCCCTGAGCATGGCCCGGGAGGTGGACCCCGAGGGAGACAGGACCATCGGTGAGAGGGGGTGCTAGGGCTGCTGACATCGCGAGGAGGGCGTGGCCTCGCCCGCAGTCCGGGAGTGGCAGCAAGGGTCCCCAGGGCCCCCCTCTTCCTCTCGCTTGTCTGCAGTCACAGCATGTGGGGGTCCATCGCTGCCCAGCCCAGGCCACTCTCCCACACTCCCGCTCAGGGGGCCCACGCAGAGCTTGACTCCTCTAGAAAGGAAGGGCCCCTTCCTGCTCCTCCCGACCCCCTGGCCCCCCCACAGTGCCCCCCCCCCCGCCACCAGCTCAGGACATGCTGATGCCTGCCCCTGCCCTGCTCCCCTCATACCCAGGCCTTGCCCTTGGAGAGAAACCTGCTCACAAAGCACGTGGCCTGGCTCTTGACCCGGGCAGGGAGTGTCCTTTGTCCTTTCTCATCGCCCTCGGGATCCTCAGAGCCAGTCACGGCATCCCGCTTTGGCGAGGGCCGGCAGGACTCAGCCCTGAAACCGTGGGTTCTGGAGAGTGGTAGGAAAGGTTTGCGGACACAGCTCCGAAGCTGACGAAGGCAGAGTGTGCGGTGCAGGTCAGGGAGGAGACCAGGCCCTCCCCGGTGTCCAGGCCTCTCCTTTTTCCCATATACGTCCTGTCCCTCGATGCCCAGGCTAGTGTACAATGTCCTCAGTCTGTCCTTGGCCATCTTTTCGCTTCCAGTGTACAGAACTCCAGGCTCTTCCCTGCTCCCCTGTCTGTCCAGTGTAAAAGCTGCTGACCTGGGCGCTGCACCTGAGCCCTGTCCCCTGTCCCCTGGCTGGGGCTGGGGCCCTGGAACCTGACACTGGGCCTCTGTGGGACTTGATCCTCTAGTCCCTGGCCAGGGCACTGTGTTGTGGGGGAGAGCCCTGCTGTCCTGCTGTCTGTCTGGGCGTCTGTGAGGGCGTGGGGAGAAGCCTGGCCGGGGGCTCCCTTCCCTCTGCCGCTTCCCACCCCAGCCGCCCCATTTCCCATTTTGACTGGAGACCTTCCCAGTGGGGGAGGTTTAAAGTCCCGAATGAACTAGCTCCCCGTGTCCCGGGAAGGCCTTTCTGGACACCACTCCCCGTCCACCCGTCCATGTGGCAAAAGTGCAGGGCCAAGGCCGTGCTGTGCTCACACAAACCTTTCAGAGAGAAGAAACGGAGCTTCTGGTTATAGGACATGTCAGAGAGAGAGAAAGAGTCTCTGTTTTACTTTTTTTTTTTTTTTTGTGGTAGGGGGAGGTCACACCCAGCAATGCTCAGGGGTTCCTCCTGGCTCTGCACTCAGGAATTACTCCTGGAGGTGCTCAGGGGACCATATGGGATGCCGGGAATCGAACCCAGGTCGGCTGTGTGCAAGGCAAACACCCTACCTGCTGTGCTATCACTCTGGCCCCGGAGAGAGTCTCTGACTCTGGGGAGAGGCTGTCATGGGCAGGCTGGAGCATGACCAACCCCAGGAGAAAGGGGGCTGTGAGCTGTGCACGGCAGAGACCTGAGCCAGGGGCCAGCCAGGCATAATGCAGAGGAGAGTGGAACGACGCAGAGCCCAGGAGGCTGGGATGGGGAGGGAGGGGTGGGCGCGTGCAGGTCCTGCTGTGTGTTTCGGGGCCCTGAGCTTCCTGGCCTGCAGGAATCCTCACCAAGCCCGACCTCGTGGACAAGGGCACAGAGAGCAGCATCCTGAGGGTGGCACAGAATTACACCTACCGCCTCAAGAAGGGATACCTGATGGTGCGCTGCCGCGGCCAGCAGGACATCGCCAACCAGCTCAGCCTGGCTGAGGCCACCGAGAAGGAGACCAAGTTCTTCCAGGACCACCCGTACTTCAGGTCAGCCTGTGAGGCCCGCAGTCAGCTGGAACCCTAAGCCTGGACTGCCTGTCTGTGTCTTTTTTTTTTTTTTGAGTGCCCATGAGATACACAGTTACAAAGTTGTTGGATTAAGTTTCAGTCATACAGTGTCGCAACACGGGTCCCTCCACCAGTGCACATTTCCCAACACCAATGTCCCCAGGTTCCCTCCCGCCACACCCCTCTACAGTAGACGTTTTTTTTCTCTCTCTTTTCCCTCCCTCCCTCTTTCCCTCCCTCCCTCTTTCCCTCTATCCCTCCCTCTCTCTCTCTGAGTCTGTCTCTTACTCACTCTCTCCCTCTCTCTCTTTGTCTGTCTGTCTCTCTCCATCTCTCTCTCTCCTTTTGGGCATTAAGATCTGCAATGCAGTCACTGACAGGTTACCATGGATATCTCCCTACCGCTTCTCAGCCCTCAGTTCCTGTCCAGAGTGGTCGTTTCCGACTCTTGCTGCCATAGTGACCCTTCCTCTGTCCCCCAGTTGAATATAAAAAGGTAAAGGCCCTCCCGTTGATCGTCGATTTGCTCGAGCGGGCCCAGTAACGTCTCCATTGGAGACTTTGTTGTTACTGTGTCTGGCATATCCAATACTCTCGGTAGCTTGCCGGGCTCTCCGAGAGGGGCGGAGGAATCGAACTCGGGTCGGCCATGTTGGCCGCTTGTAAGGCAAACGCCCTACCCGCTGTGCTATCGCTCCAGCCCAGTTGAATATATTGGCCTTCTTTTTTTTTTTCTTTTTGGGTCACACCCGGCGATGCACAGTGGTTACTCCAGGCTCTGCACTCAGGAATTACTCCTGGCGGTGCTCAGGGGACCATATGGATGCTGGGAATCGAACCAGGTTGGCTGCATGCAAGGCAAACGCTCTCCCATTGTGCTATCACTCCAGCCCCAATATACTGACCTTCTAAAACCTTTCTTCTTTTTTTTTTCTTTTTGGGTCACACCCGGCAATGCACAGCGGTTACTCCTGGCTCATGCACTGAGGAATTATCCCGGGTGGTGCCCGGGGGGCCATATGGGATGCTGGGAATCGAACTCAGGTCGGCCGCGTGCAAGGCAAACGCCCTACCCGCTGTGCTATCACTCCAGCCCTAAAACCTTTCTTCTTGAGCTCTGAGGTCAGTGCTCAGGGCCCTAGAAGGTAACAGAAGATTTTAATTTGCCTGCTTCTCTGAGTCCGTTTTTATTTCCTTTGCTGTCATATCGATGATCTCATATACGATCTCATATACTTGGAACTTGTGGTTCCAAGTCTTGCATTTACACCTTTAATCACTTTTTGCAGCTGATCTTGTGTCTCAGTTTCATTCTTTCCCTGTGAATACCCACCCGTGTGTTTTGAAGATTCCCTTTCCCTGCTGTGTATTTGACATTCAATCCAGGATCAGTTGAACCAACATACCTGGGTCTGCTCCATAGATCTCTGACTGCATCCTTATGCTAACGACACACTGTTTCAATGATCGTCACTTTGTGCTATGTTTTGGATCCAAGATGCGTGCTGCCTCCATCACTGTCTCTCTTTCTCAAGATTAGTTTGGCTATTTAGGCTTGAATATTTGAGATTACAAGTAAACCACCAGTTGGGGCAGTGCCTCTGAATCACTACAAAGTTAGGTGGGCTTTGTCCTCCTGGAGACGACAGGTGACAACACCAGGAGTAAGCTTGTTGGGGTTATGAGGAGAGAAAGTGGGTATAGCTCACCAGCGCATGCCCGCTGGGCAGAGGCTTGCTCAGCAATCAGCAGCGTTCTCACGCGCCGGCCTCCGTGTTAACCCCCAGCGCTGAGCCCAGCCCATGCCACAAAGCCCCGTCATGCTCAGGGTGCCCAGAGAACATCCGGACTCACTCCTGTGTACATCTACTTTCAGGATACTCCTGGACGAGGGCAAGGCCACCGTGTCGTGCCTGGCAGAGAGACTCACTTCTGAGCTCATCCTGCACATCAATGTGAGTCCTGAGCTACTGCGATTTCTCGCCGCCCACGCCACCATGGGGGCTGTCCCAAGTTAGCAGGCACCCCACAGAACAGCCCAAAAAAGCAGTGGGCCAGGCACTCCCTGCCGTAACAGGTGAGGGGTTCAGGGATCACTGGGAAGCAGCAGCCATGGCTACGGTGGTTCCACTCTGGGCAAAGAGCTGAACCCCGCCCGGGAGGTGTGTGAAAGGCCAAAAGGAGTATATGCAGGCACACACCCAGAAACTCATGTAGCCCCCACCCCCGCCACAGCCCTCCAGGGGTGGACCCTGAGCATCACCAGTATGGCCCCCAAACCAAAACAGCAGCAACAGGTGGGGTCTGGGGGGGGGCATGGAGGGACTCACTGCAGCCCCAGGATAGCACCCTCTGGGGTCCCGCTGGGTCCCTGCATCCCCCGCTTTGTCGGAGGGTGAGGGTTGCCTGCGCTCCGCCAGGGCATCGCTGGCCAAGAGGGCCCATTCTGCTAAGGGGACTCAAGTGTCCCCTCTGCATGCGAAGCACCAAGTGAAATGGGGGCTGAAACCGTGCTCCCTGCCCCTCCTCCCGTGCCCAGGCTGTGGATGCCAGTCAGGGCTGCTGCAGCCCGAGGGCAGCCCACACCTCCCCATGCTGGCCTCCTCCTTTATGTCTGTTTGTTTTTGTTTGGGACTCCCACCCCCACCCCTGGAATGTTCACAGCGTAGTCCTGGCGGTGCTGAGGGACCTTATGGGATGGTGGGGATCCAAGCTGGGTCCTTCCAAGGGCAATTGCCCTCCCCACTGTGCTGTTGCCCTGTGTATCTCTTATCCCTGCAGTGCTGTAGGAATCCCGGCTCCTCAGAGTGGACCTCCCCTATGGAACCTCGCCCTCCCTCTGCCAGCCGGCTCCACCCACTGCCTCTTCCTTGTTTTCTGTCCAGAAAATGCTCCCGTTCTTGGATGAGCAGATTCAGGAGAACTACCAGAGGGCGACCGAGGAGCTCTGCCTTTACGGGGCCAACATCCCCAGCAGCGACGCCGACATGCTGCTCTTCCTCATCGAGGTGGGCCCCGAGACAGGCTCTGGACCCCGGCCCAGTGGGCATCTGCAGAGACAGGCCCCCGCACCCCCCCCCCACAGCACATCCTACATCCCAGCTCCCTGCTAAGGGACCCTGTCCCAAACCTCAGCCCAGCCTGCAAGCTTGATCTCGTTTTCAGAAAATCAGGGCGTTTAACCGGCACATCGAGAGACTGGTGGAAGGGGAGGAGGTTCCGTCCGAGAAGGAGGCTCGGCTGTGCAATCGCATCCGGGAGAACTTCAATAACTGGGGCATGGTCATCCTCCTCAACACGGACAAAGGTCAGGAAAGCAGGACCTGAGCGCCCATGCCCCACATCACTGACCAGCTCGCCCGGCCCCGCCCGCTCCCACCCCAGCCAGAGTTCTGCCTACTCTGCGTGAGTGGGTGTCTCCTTTGAGGTGTGCAGGGGACCCCCATGCTCCACTGGGAATTTGGGCCCACCAAGCCCAGGTTCTTTGCGTGGACCTGGGTGCAGCATGGCAAGGTTTCCTCAGTGTGGGTGGCTGGGCTTCTCCAATGGGTCTGGGAGTCTCCAGAGCTGCCCCGGGCTTCCTGGGAGGGCAGGTAGGAGCCACTTGCTAGTCCTGGGCCCCCAACGCTGCACCATTGCCGGCACCCATGTCTTTGTTTGAGGCTGTACGGTTCCACCCACTCCATTCCCACTTCCTGCCAGCCCTGCCACAGCCCTGAACTGGTACATGGCCTGTCTGCTCTGCCTGGCTGGGTCCTCAGTTCCCTTCTGCTCAGAGCAGATGCCAGTAGCATATGTGCAGGTGTGTGGACGCATGTGCACAGCTGTGTGATGTGCATGTAGGTGTGTGCACTGTGTGGGTCTATACATGTGTGCCCACAGGTGCATTGGGAAAGTGTACATGTGGTCGTGTGCTGTGTGGGTAGCTGTGTACCTGCACATGTGTGTATATGAGAATGGGAATGCACGGGTGTGAGCCATGTAGGTATATACGTGTGTACATGTGTGATCATACATGTACTAAGAGGTATGCTCACACACATTTGCTTGTATGAGCATGTGCATGGTCATAGGTACATGCACGTGTGCCTGTGTATGTTGGGAGGGTTTCTCCTCTGTAGACTAGACATTTAGTTGTGACATCTATAAACGTAAAGGTAAAGGGCTGGAGCGATAGCACAGCGGTAGGGAGTTCGCCTTACAAGCGGCCAACATGACCGACCCGAGTTTGCTTCCTCTGCCCTTCTCGGAGAGCCCGGCAAGCTACCGAGAGTATTCGATATCCCAAACACAGTAACAACAAAGTCTCCAATGGAGACGTTACTGGGCTCGCTCAAGCAAATCGACGATCAACGGGAGGGCCTATACCTTTACCTTTACCTTATCTATAAACGTGTATAAAAAGGTTTAATTCTGGGGGCTGGAGAGATAGCACAGTGGGGAGGGCATTTTCCTTGCACGCGGCTGACCCGAGTTCTATTCCCAGCATCCCATATGATCCCCTGAGCACTGCCAGGAGTAACTCCTGAGTGCAGAGCCAGGAGTAACCTCTGTGCATCGCTAGGTGTGACCCAAAAAGAAAAAAAAAAACAATTAATTCTGGTTCCAGGAGAGAGAGGCTGGGGTAAGGCACTAGGGCTGGAATGTGGCCAACGTTGGTTTGACCCCTGACCCTGTATGTGCCCCCCCTGAGCTCCACCAGGAGTGTTCCGTGAGCAAGGAGCCAGGTGTAAGTCCTGCGCATCACTGGGTCGGACCCCAAAAGAGAATGTTTAACTTTTTGTTCTCATTGAACTAAATCAGAATTTTTCCTAGTAATTAGATTTTTTTTCTCTCAAGGTGATACCTCCCAGTTGAAACATAAATTCATAGAGTAAGACTTTTATTTCTTGAAAGTCAGTATTTACTCAAGCTGACTTCCAACCATGAACTTTTTTCTTGGCCACTGTGGGTAGACACGGTGCTGGACATGGCCATCAGCAGACTATGGCTGTCAGCAGGCTGTCAGCGTGCTGTGGCCATCAGCAGGCTGTGGCCATCAGCGAGCTATGGCCATCAGTAGACTGCATTTGTTTTCTGTCACAGTTAAGAACATCATGCATGAGGAAATCTCCAAATATGAAAATAAGTATCGCGGCAAAGAGCTCATAGGATTTGTCAACTACAAGACATTCGAGATCATCGTGCAGCAATATATTGAGCACCTGCTCCACCCCGCCCTGGAAACGCTGCAGAAGGTTACGGGTGAGAATCTCCTCTGTGTGTGTGTGTGTCTGTGTTAGTGTGAATGTGTGTGAATGTGTGGGTGTATGTGTGTGTGTCTGTTACTATGAATATCTGTGTGTGATTGTGTGTCTGTGTTAGTGTGAAAGTGTGTGAGTGTGTGATTGTGTGTCTGTGTTAGTGTGAATGTGTGTGAGTGTGTGTGGTTGTGTGTCTGTGATAGTGTGAAAGTGTGTGAGTGTGTGTGATTGTGTGTCTGTGTTAGTGTGAATGTGTGTGTGATTGTGTGTCTGTGTTAGTGTGAATGTGTGTGAGTGTGTGTGGTTGTGTGTCTGTGTTAGTGTGAATGTGTGTGTGATTGTGTGTCTGTGTTAGTGTGAATGTGTGTGAGTGTGTGTGGTTGTGTGTTTGTGTTAGTGTGAATGTTTGAGTGTGTGTGTCTGTTAGTGTGAATGTGTATATGTGTGTCTATTAGTGTGAATGTGTGTGTTTGTATGAATGTGTATGAGTGTGTGCGTGTGTTTGTGTGTGTGTATCTGTGAGTGTGTGTGTCTGAGTGTGTGAGTGTGTGTGTTTGTGTGAGTGTGTGTGAGTGTTTGTATGAGTGTGTGTGTAGGGGGAACCCATCCCTTTTTCCTTGAGGTTTTTCTAGAAAAGGTTCAACAAGCGGTCATCATACAATTAGGAGCAGAAGACCAAATTGGGCTCAGAGTGACAGCACAGCAGGGGAGCCTTCCGCTTTACACAGGGCAGACCCGGCACCCCATAGGGTCCCCTGAGCCCCACCAGGAGTGCTCCCTGGAGCTGCCCTATCGAGCTGTCCCCTTTCCTGGAGGTTAAGGTGTCGGCGTGTTATGCTTCTGCTGAAGTCACTGCCACATGACAGAGGGACACGTTGGGAACAGCTGCAGCAGAAACGTGGCGAGTGGGCCCTGCAAGTGTCTTCCCCATCCCCCGGCTCCATCCAGGGGTGTCAGGGCGGGGAGAGGGATGGCCCCACAGAGCGCTGGCTGCGTGATCCTCCTCTCGGCCTGTGGCTGGGGATAGACCCAAGCGTGGGGCCCGTTTTTCCCGAGTCTCCGAGCCATTTGAGTCCTACTTGCATCTCACCCCTCTCTATCCTCTCCCTGATCAGAGATGATCCGTCAGACATTTGTGGACACAGCCAAAAGTCACTTTGGTGAATTTTTTAACCTGAATCAAATCGTCCAGGTAAGCGTCCGTCCTGCCCTCCCTGCGTTTGCCAGCCAGTCACCGGCCTCTGACTCACTGACCGGGTCTCACTGCGGTGAAGCTGAGTGCTGGTGCATCGAGTGTGTTCTGTAGTGACCCTCATTTGCTGGCCTCTGTCTCCGGGGTCATCTGCCCTGCCCAAGAACAGGCGGTCTGCCCTGATGCTCCTCTGGGATTTTCAGGGTTGGTGGCAACACCTGGAACACAGGACTGCTTCATGGCCGCTGGTGCTTTAAGCCCCCTTTTTCAGAACCCAGGACCTAACATGAGTCCCACACCAAAATGCTTGTGTTTGGCTTTAAAAGACAACTCTGTTCTGGGCACACAAGGGGGAAGGTGCTTGTCATGCATGTAGGCAATCCACGTTTGATCCCTGGCACCTCATATTGTCCCCCGAGTCCTGCAGGAGTGATCCCTGAGTGCAGAAGCAGGAGTCAGCCCTGAGCAGCGTTTGCAGATTCTCTTTTAAATCTCTTAAAGTGAAAGTGTGACTGCTAAATTAAAAATCATCAGAAACTGAGCCGTGGACTAAAAGTACTTTAGGCTGTCTCAAAAACAATCTTTTAAATTAAAATATATACAATAGATATAAAGGGCTGGAGTGATAGCACAGCGGTAGGGCGTTTGCCTTGCACGCAGTCAACATGGCTGACCCGAGTTCGATTCCTCCGCCCCTCTCGGAGAGCCCAGCAAGCTACCGAGAGTATCTCGCCCGCACGGCAGAGCCTGGCAAGCTCCCCGTGACGTAGTCGATATGCCAGACACAGTAACAACAAAGTCTCCGATGGAGACGTTACTGGGCCCGCTCGAGCAAATCGATGAACAACGGGAGGACAGTGACAGTGATAATTTTTTAAATAATAGAAATAGAAAATAAATATACTAAAAACTCTAAGATAAATAAAAATAAATTTTAAAATATGAATGAATATAAGATAGTATATATTTACGCCACATAATATTATATATGTGATTGTTTTGAACTACACCTAGTGGTGCCCAGGGGCTAGTCCTGACTCAGGCAGTGCTCTGGGGACTGTGTGTGATGCCAGGGATTGGGACCCAGGTTGGCAGAATGCAGGGCCTGCACTGTTTCTCTGATCCTCAAGAGGATCTTTAATTCAAACTGTCGGAAAGGCGTCTGCTCACCCCTGTGCGGGATGGTGACCCCATGCCTGCAGGGCTGTTCCCTGCACGCACCTGCCTCTGGCTGCTCAGATCTGGCTAGGCTCTCAGGGGATGAGGAGCATGATTCCGGGCCAGGGATGCCCATCAGCTCCATCTGAGGACAGGAGATTAAAAATCAGTGGTTTAAAGCAAGACTCTTCATTGTGCCCCAACCTGGCTGCCTCTCAGGCTGGGGTGGTGTCTCCCTCCCCGTTCCATGGGTGCAGAGAAGGAGCCATTTTCCTCTGGCATGACTCAACTGCTTCTTCGTCTTTGTTGCCAACCAAAGAAACACAGATGTCAGTTCTGACTCTTGCCAACTTCTCGCGGCAACTTCCCAGGGCGCTTCCTCCCCTCCTGGGGTAACTGGTCTGCCATGGGATTCCTGTCCCCCTACCCCCAGCCAACATTTTCCACCTCAAAGTGAAACACTGGAGAGCAGTTGGCTGAGAGGTGACGTCAGATCAGACTAGGAGGATGGGCTGATGGGACTGGGGCTGCTCCCTGATATGGCCCAGGAAGAAGAAGTTCTCCCCGTAGGCCACTTCCTGCCTGGAAGTACAAAGGCAGCTGCCGCATCCCATACTGGATGGGCAAACAGACAAGGCCCCAGGGAGGTTCTGAAAACCCCCTTCCCAGGGGTCCCGGTTGTATGTGGGAGACTCCCTCCCATTACAGAGCTCCCTCAACTGTAAAGACAACAGGGGGAAGGAAGCAAAGTGTCTCTCTTTCTTGTCTAACCAGAAGCTCATCGAAGACATAAAAGTAAAGCAAATGGAAATCGTGGATGATCAGATCCGACTCCAGTTCAAAATGGAGCGGCAGGTCTATTGCCAAGACCACATTTACGGCAGCATCCTTGGCAAAGTCCGGGAAGAAACGTTTAACCCAATGGGAAAGCTTCCAGTGATGCAATCAAAAGCCCCAAATAACTCTTCTACAGTCTCCTCTGTAAATGAGATTGGGCTACACCTGAATGCCTACTTCCTGGTGAGTGGGGCCTGCAGGACTGTGACTGACCCAGCCAGAGCAGGGCCGAGCCACACCTGTCCTCGCCCTTTCTGCACGTTGAACTATTCATGTGTTTCCCCGATACAGTTTTACACCAGTCCTAGAAAGGTACTTTTCATTTGTTTGCCCAGACCTGTTTTCAATGTGGCAGAGCCTGACCCCTTAGCAGGTACGATGCCAGCCTTCATATTAGATACTCCCGCGAGTCACACAGTACTCCTACCAGGGAACAGCCATTGAGAAACCCGCTGAGCTGATTGGTTAGGCTTCAGCTTTCCTCCATGCTCAACCCCCTCTCATCTCTCTAAGGGACTTCAGCTCATGGGTACCACCTAGCAGCATCAAATCCTCCTTTCTCTGGATGGTATCACCCAGTTTGCTCCGTGGATCCTGGCAGCGTATCCCTTAACTGACCCAAAAAGAGCAATGCGGTGCCTGCAGGGTCATGGGCAGGGCTGGTGTAAGACCCTGGACTGAGACATTTAGGCCAGAGCAGCAAATGTTTGTGAAAGGGAGCTGAACACAGTCCAGAGAGGGACATAGCGAAGGTGTCCAACGAGGGGCTCGCCGTCCAATACAGTTCGAGGGTGGTGGGGGAGGTCTCTTTGCTGTTGTTTTGGAGGAAGTATTTTCAGGAGCTTCAGGGGTCTGGGGTGTCACATTAGGGGTTTCCTTGGTGGCGTGTAACTAAATGGGCAACCTGTGGCTTTGTGCATAGGACAGACTTTCAGCTCATTAGTGAGGCTGAAGGGGCTCTGACTGGATTGGACCCAGGAGTGAGCTGGGGACCTGTCACATGGTCTGTGCCAGGCCAGGCATGTCAGCTGGCGGCTTGGTCCCCTCAAAGAAATGGCTCCTGGGCTACCACAGCATGCTGCAGAGCTTTGTTTGGGGGTTATACCTGGCAGTACCCAGGGCTTCCTGCTGGCACTGCACACTGGGATCACTCCTAGCGGGCTCAGCGGACCATATGGGTGCCAGGGATTGAACTAGGATCAGCTGTGTGCAAGGCCAGCGTCCTTCCTCCCGTGCCGTTGCTCCAGTGCCGGGGTCCTTTCTTAACCAGAGCTAGAAAGATGTAGGACCCAGTGGTCAGGCCCTCTAGGGGTGCCTGGGGGGCGGGGGAGAGTAGGGAACTTTAAAGCCTGTGCCCAGCTGCTTCCACAAGGAATCTGGGGATGATGGGGTACGGTGTCCTCTTGGGGAGGTGGAGTGGAAACAAAAGGTAGGGGAGGTGTTCCAGTGAAGGCAGGAGATGTTCAGAATGTCAGAGGGACTCAGGTGAGTTCTAGTGCTCCAGAGGTACTGGCTGATAAATCGAACTCAACTAGGTTGGGGGAGGACCTCAACTAGGATGGGGGAGGGGGGACCACCTGGACTTAGCACGCAGACCCCCATGCGTGCATCTGGGAACCCCACGCCGTGTTCCCTAGTTTACCCTGTTACATCTCTCCTCCAGGAAGCCAGCCAGCGCCTGGCCAACCAGATTCCATTGATCATCCGGTTCTTTATGCTCCAAGAGTACGGGGAGTGTCTGCAGAAGTCCATGATGCAGATCCTGCAGGACAAACAGAGCTATTCCTGGCTGCTGCAGGAGCAGAACGAGACCATGCTCAAGAGGAAATTCCTCAAGGACAAGATTTCCCGGCTGGACCAGGCGCGCCAAGCGCTCTGTAAATTCTACCATGCATAAAGTGGGTGGGGGGCCAGGGTGGTAGGGAACCCTGAAGAATGAGACTTGTGTGTGTGTGTGTGTTGTGTGTGTGAGGAGGGGTTCTTCTGTGTGTCACTGTCTGGGGAGGCACTACCAGAAAGGCATCTGCCTTAGCCCTGGCACTAAGCTCCTCATGGTACTGCCTGAACCCACACCCTGAGGAGTGGGTCTCCAGTCACTGGGCCCCGGGACCCCCATTTCCCTGCTCCTGGTGCCTGTACCAACACCCCACTGGACGTCAGTCACTGTCAGGCTCCAACAGGCATGGGGGCCCATGAGGAATGACATCCCAGTACAGGAAGGAGTTAGGGGTCCCCTGGCTGGCCGCTCAGACGGCGAGATCCACTTTCTGGCTGTTGTTTGCCGACTGTGCTGAGTTGCCGTGATGAGGTGAAGTCCTGCAGAGGCAGTGCTGAGGGTTTACTCCTAGCAGGACTTGGGCGACCTGTGCAGTGCTGGGATTGAACCAGGGTGCTGGGCCCCTCTGGGTCCCTGGTCTCACTCCCTGCTGTCCTCTCGGCTGGAAGACTGTCGTATTCTGTTTTTATAGCTTCACCCTGAATTGCACTGACCTCTCGGGAGTTCCAGGACAGTTCAGGGAAACCGTTTCTGCAACTCCCCCAAACTCCAAGCAGGGGTTCACAAATGCCAGAGTCACCCCCTCCCTTCAAAGGCAGCTTGATTGTGGCTTAGCCCTGGCCCCTCACTTGGAAGCCTTTGCTCAGCCAGCGCCCCGTGCAGTTAGCGCCCCATGGAGTTCAGTCAGCCATCACACCTGGTATCCGAGCAGAATCCAGAGGCTGTTTCTCTGCATGCGGAGGTCTAATCTTTGCAGCACCATTTGGTGGGAAAGGTCATCCTTGCCCTGCAGGTCAACACGGCACTGCCCAAAATCATGGGAGTGTGGAGGGAAAGTTGGTTTCTGGTGCTGTGTGCTGGGTCACTGGCCCATCCACCCACCTGTGCGACACAGTCACAGAACCAGAAAAGTGTGCGTCCTTCCTTTTCTTTTTTTTTTCCTTTTCACCCATTTATCCAGTTTTATTTTTGGAGGGAGTTAGGTGAGTCCCTTGAGGTTCCATGAGAATTTGGGGGTGGGTGTTTCCCTCCCTGACAAACCTGCCCCCTTGGATTGCGGTAGGAAGGGCCTCACTCTGAGGAGGACTTCACTATTTCACTTGGCAATAGTGAACCATCTCGTTCATGACCGTGGGGTCCCCTCCTATTTAATCATGATTTTTAGACATATCTTTAAGCAATGTTTTATTGTCTCAATAATGCAAATCTTCCCCTTCCTTGGTTAATTGCTGAGAATTTTGTTCTTTTTAATGCTATTGTAAATGGAACTATTTTTCTTAATTTTCCTTTTAGGTTGTTTACAGAACTGTAACTGATTTTTAGGAATTTATTTTGTATCTTGCAACTTTGTTGAACTTATGATCCTAACGATTTTGCAAAAGCAGTCTTTGCAACTGTTACCCATTGAGTCATTGCTTCCTTCCCAACCTGAATACCTTTTCCTTTTCTTGCCTAAGTGCTTAGACCAGCACTTCCAGTTTATGCTGAACAGAAGCGAGAAACTAGGTTCCCTTGTCTAGTTTTACCTGTTACTTGTTTACCGGGAAAACCAGATACCCCAATCTTAAAGGATTCTTGTGATACCAAAGCTAATGATGTTGGGAAGAAAAGTGTCCAGCGAAACATTGCTCTCTGTTTAGAAGCCATTTACTTTTTCATCCCCTCATGTCTGAGTGGACTCGAATGTGCAAATGATAGAACCAAAGGGAACCCACTGCTCCACGGTGCGCTTTCCCTTCTTCGTTGTGTCTTCAGATTCTGGACTCTATTGTGAGAACCGAGCCTGAGAAAAATCTAAACCTGATATTGGGTGTTTGTTCCATAAACTGTATATTCAAAGCACATCACTGTCACTGTCACTGTCCTCCTGTTGTTCATCAATTTGCTCGAGTGGGCCCAGTAACATTGTGAGACTTGTTACTGTGTTTGGCATATTGAATATGTCACGGGTAGCTTGCCAGGCTTATTCAAAGCACATTCAATAAACATTTTCTTTATTATCCCCTGGATTCTGCACATACAAATACCTAAATGCATCACCGCATCTCACAGTGCAGCTCGGGCTGCCCCAGCATGAGTGGAGGGTCTGTGGGGGATGCCTCATGCCGAGATGTGTGTCAGCTGGGCTATAGGGAACAAAAGGATGATCTTGCAATAGAACTTCTGCTCTGACAGTTTTATGGGGATTTTTTTGGGGGGGGGTTGTTTGTTTGCTGGGCACACCCAGCACTGTGCAGGGTTTATTCTTGGCTCTGTACTCAGAAATCTCTGCTAGCAGTGTTCAGGATCATATGGGACGCTAGGAATCAAACCCAGATGGGTCATGTGCCTGGAAAGTACCCACCCTAGCCACTGTTCTGTCACTTTGGCCCCTGCTCTTACAGTTTTAAGGTCCAGACATGAAATCAAACTATGGAAAAGGCTGGTTCCTTCCAGCACGCTGGAGAGAGACCTAGTCCAGCCCCAAGACCCTGTCCAGGCTGGCCTTCAGGTTCTTGGGGTACCCAGATTTTCAGCCCCTGCTCCAGTCATATCTTCTGTGCCCACAGCCCAATTCTGTGCCCCCTCTAGAAAAACAGCTCCCTCTTCTCTCTCTGCCATAGACCCATCCTGAGCTCCTGAGACACTTCATCTAGAATGGTCTCATCTCAAGATCCCATATGACTTCTGCCAATTCCCTTCTTCCCCAGGCTCACTAGCCAGGTTCTGTGCATGAGGACACATGGGGTCTGCCCTTTGGAGACTCAATCTGGCCTGACCCCAAGCTTAGCAGGTTAGAGCAAGGCTCTGGGTCGACGGCCCCATGCTTTTGTCAGAAGAAGCTAAGTGCAGCCAGCCAGTGAACATATTCTTTGGGTCCTGGGAGCTGAATGCAACCTCATCCATGCCTTGGAATGTCCAGCAAACCACCTGGCCAACAGGGGAGGGAAGAAATTGGGGAACTACAAGGGTGTTTCTGAGGGTCTAATTGGGACTGGCTCCAAACTGTTCCTCTGAATTCCGTGGGCAACTCAGGCCTGTGCCCACGCCTACCTGCTCTGCTGGGAAACAGGGTCCAATTAAGTCATTGATGGAGAGGAAACCTGGTTTGGATCTGCCTCACGGCTTTGAACCAGAAGCATGTCTCGAGGGCGAGCAAACTCTCATTCTGGAGTGTCTGGTCACCTGATAGCCCCGTCCCCTCCCACAGTGTGTGTCATTCCCAGAACCCCTCCCCTCCCACAGTTCAGCCCCCCATCTGATCCCAGGGGACTTAGAAGCCCCAAATGCCAGCCCCCTCCCGTTACCCCCAGAAATACGGGAGCCAGCGAGTATGGCTTTTTCTCCTGCTCATCTGTCCACTGTGACTTTGAGCAGCTGGAATTGGTGGGGGACAGAACCCTCCACAACTGTCAGCATCTAGAACCCGTCCCAGGTGGGGCTCCCCGGGGATCCACAGAACACGCTGCCCGACCAGCCTGGTGCTTCCGTGGGAGGAAGTTGGTCTCCTTTTCTTTACTTCTGGGGTGGGGGTAGGGGGTGGGGAGAAGTCCCCTCCCCTCGCCTGGACACTCAGACACTTTGGCTTACGTGGCCCAAAGCAGGTTCTTTAGCAGCCAGGACAGACTGCAGCTAACATTGACTCAGCTAGGTCTCCGTTTCTGTTTCCCTGGAGCAGTACTTGCAGTTGCTGGTAAACTCACAATTGCATAATTTGCCAAGATAAAGAATTGGGCAATTGGGTCTGGCCAGTCATGAAGGGTCACTGTCCCCTCCTTAGAAACTTTGCTAACCATTGTCTAATTGCTGACCACTGTTGTCATAGGGCCGATGCGAAAAACAGACCAGTATATAAACTGCTCTTAACTCAGAACCCTATGTAAACTGCTTGTGATTTGGAATCGAGGTCCTTGTCAAGACTCCACTGCGTTGGATGAGACTCGGACCCTAGCTCGGGCTAGTGCTGGCTCGGGCTAGTAATAAAGTTCCTTTGCTTTTGCATTATCGTGTATGCACTGGGTCTCTCCGCAATTGGGAATCTCAAACTTGGGCACAACAAGGTGTGTTGTAGGAGCAATGGCTGAGGGGTGCTGGGCGCTGACCCCACAGAGAGGCTGAACAAAGGCCCCACGCACAGCCCTGCCCCCCACATCCCCGCACACCCACATGCACAGCCCTCCCACCCATGCACATGCCCCCACCAGAGCATCCCTGCACCCTGCGTGCTGAGACTCTGAGCCGCAGGGTTCCTATGATCCCCAGAGAACGAGAACGCAGTCACTGCAAGGGTGCTGTGCTGGGGTCTTCCCGTGTGCCATAAGGAGGCTGGCATGCATCAGGGAGGGGGGGACGCAGTTCCCTGGTGCAGTCAGCAGGTGGGTGGGTTCCCCAGCTCAGGGAGGTTCTGGGAAGGCCAGGCAGGTCCCCACAAAGTGCTGGTCTCCTGGAAAAGCAAAGGGTCCCTGCCCTGCCCATGTCCAGGAAGAGTCCAGGGCCACCACCTCAGTGTCCCAGACTCCCAGCATCTCCCTTGCAGCTAGGGCTGTGATGGGTGGGCAGAACAAAAGGAAGCCAGTGTCCGGGCCCCAGGCCCCACCAGCACCCAGGGTAGACTCAGGATCTTGAACTTTCCCACTACACCTGCACTCACACCCCCTCCGGCCCCTGAAGCCCCTTAAGAGGCAGGCAGCTTCTCCAGGCTCCACATCACCAAATATAAAAGCGAAAATTAACTAGGGAAGTGCTGCATTGACTGGGGAGGTGCTGCATTAACTGAGGAGGTGCTGCATTATCTGGGGAGGTGCTGCATTAACTGGGGAGGCACTGCATTAACTGGGGAGGCACTGCATTAACTGGGGAGGCACTGCATTAACTGGGGGAACACTGCATTAACTGGGGAGGCGCTGCATTAACTGGGGTGGCTCTTCATTAACTGGGGGTGCTGTATTAACTGGGGAGGCGCTGCATTAACTGAGGAGACACTGCATTAACTGGGGTGGTTCTTCATTAACTGGGGAGGCTCTGCATTTACTGGGGAGACACTGCAGTAACTGGGGTGGCTCTTCATTAACTGGGGGTGCTGCATTAACTGGGGAGGTGTTGCATTAACTGGTGAGACACTGCATTAACTGGGGTGGTTCTTCATTAACTGGGGAGGCGCTGCATTTACTGGGGAGAAACTGCATTAACTGAGGTGGCTCTTCATTAACTGGGGGGTTGCTGTATTAACTGGGGAGATGCTGCGTTATCTGGGGGGTGCTGCATTAACTGGGGTGGCGCTGCATTAACTGGGGAGACACTGCATTACCTGGGGAGGTGCTGCATTAACTGGGTAGACACTGCATTACCTGGGGAGGTGCTGCATTAACTGGGTAGACACTGCATTAACTGGGGGGTGCTGCATTAACTGAGGAGATACTGCATTAACTGGGGGGGGGGGGGGTGCTGCATTTCTAACCAAAGCTGCTGGTCCACGTGTCTACTGTGACAATCACGGTGTCCACAAAAGGGGCAGTTCAGGGACTAAGGAAGTAGGAGGGGAAGGCACTTCCCCACAACCTACCCCCAGAGGCATCTACCAGAACTTTCCAGGCCACACTTTGCTGCCGCTGCAGACCCGGATCCGGTGGGAATCCTAGCAGCCGGGTCTTCCCCTCCACCCTCTCCAGGGTCGCCGCCCCAGCTCCCAGAACCTTCTCCCCTCCTCCCCCTTCCCGGAACCCCTCTTACTGGTCGGACACCGCCCCACTCCTCCTTCCCCACCCTCCCGTTCTCCGGGACCCGCCCCTCCAACCTCCTCCCAGCCCCGCCCCTTGACCACGGCCACTCCCTCCGGAACCCGCTGCACATCTTAGCCTCCCCCCCTCCCATGCCCCCGCAGACCTTTCATTTCTGAGAAGGAATCTGGCGAAAGGAAACAGAAACTGTCGCCCAAAGTGGCCTGCAGGTGCCAACGGTGATTGGCCACCCCGCACCCACCCTCCGCCCTCTGTCCCTCGGATCCTTCTAGAAACCGGAGGGGGGGGGTGAGGGTCCAGCTCCAGTGGGCCAGCTGTGGGTGGGGGGGCACAGAAAGCAGAAACGCTCAGGCAGAAAGCCTACATCGGGGGTGCGCAGAGCAGAGTCTGGGGGGCCCCACCCCAACAAGTGGAAGATAAAGGACCCCTGAGCCCTAGGGAACTGGTGCAGTGAGGAGGGCTCCACCCCGAGCCGCGCCCCCACCTGCAGAGGGGCTGGGGGACACCTGGTCAGGGGCAAGGGTGGGCCCTGCACACAGCTCAGGTGGGGCGGGTAGTGCCAGGCTGGGCGCCCCAGGGTCCCTAGGCCGGGCTCTCCCCTCACTGTCCACTCGGGGCAGTGGACAGACATCTTCTCTTAGGAACTCCAGGCTGGCAGCCTGCAGGGGTCCGAGGGATGACCGCGAGCTCTCAGGGGCTGGGTCACACCTGCGGTGACCCCTGAGTGCAGGGCCAGGAGGGACCTGAGCACAGCTGGCTGTGGCCCCACAGTAGAAAACAAACAAGCATTCGTGGGTGCTGGCCCAACTTGGTGGACCCCCTGCAGCGGGCACTGGAGGGGAGTGGGAACCAGGCGCATCTCCCCCAACCCCCGCGAGGTCGCCCTAAGTAACAAGGAGAGAATGTCTCCTGTGCAGGGGGACAGCACTGCTGCCCACGGGAGACAGGAGCCCATCCCTCAAGTGTGCTGTCCTCTCCTGCTGGCCCCTTAAGTCCTGCTGGCATCCTGAGCTTGGGCTGAGCCGCTCCTGGTCCCAGTGCATATGGAGAGCACAGATGTGGCCACCGGATCTGGGGGGGCGCAACAAGGGGGCTCTGGGTTGGCAGACAAGAGGGGTGCGTGGCCCCCAGAGCCCCGGAAGGTGTTATCTCTGAGCAAGAGGTCTTGGGGGGCCTTCAACAGACCCTGGAAGAGGCTGGGGGGCAGCGGTGCAGGGATGGGGTCCCAGCTCCTTCCACCTCTATTTATTTGCACCTTCATATTACAGGGGTGGCCCTTCTGCGGGTAATGAAGACCCCTAATTCAGCTTGGTGGCTTCCAGGCTCTTCCCCAGAACTGGGAGCTGAGGAGTTTGGACCTTTGGGGTGGAGGAGGGGACCCTTTCCTCATCGCTGGAGTCTGGTGGGCGACTGCGGTCCAGGATTCCAGCAGACACAGGGAAGCCCAGAGAGGGCGTGAGCCCACCAGGCAGACACGTGTCCCCATTCCCAGAGCTCCCCTGCTCTGGGCATTCCCCCCTAGTCTCAACCTCCCCTCCCCCCATTTCTATGCTGAAGAAAGGCCGCCTCAGCCCAGGGAGGTCTTGGAGCCCACCTGGGACCCGCGGGGGAAGGAAGGGAAAGGCGGGGCCGCACGGGGAGGGTCAGAGAGGGCTGCCCATCCGCGTCCCAGGGCGGGGCAGCTGCTCTGCTGACCAGAGCTCTGGGAGCCAGCCGCCTTGGAGGCGCGGTTAGCGCCTTGGCTTTCCACTTTCTGTTTGAGTTTCATTTTCCCCTCTCCTGGTGGGCGGGCCCCTCAGCCGCCGGCCCAAAGCTATATAGGCGCGGCTGGTGGGACTCCTGCAGTTGCCCAGGAGGACCCAGTGGTGAGTGCAAGGACCTGCGTGGGTGCCAGGCGGGGACTGTCCCCCTGGACTGGGTGGGGTGCCTCAGCTGGGGCTTCCTGCAAACCAGCATGAGTCCTGGTCGTGCGGGGAGGGGCTGGGGGAGGAGAGGGCGGCTGGGGGAGGCTCCTAGGAAATTGCGCGTGCAGGACCCCTCGCGGGTCCTGTGGGAAAAAGGGGAGAGGGAGGGGGGCAGCCCAGGGGGTCTGGGTTCCTGAGAGGGGATTCAGTGTCTGTGTGTGCTATACCTGACCCCCCACCTTTCAGGAGGGGAGAGGCGCCCGGAGCCCCTAGGGCAGCCACCCGGAGACCCCGAGGGAGGTGTGGGCACTCCTACCCCCTCCCCGGACCCACCCCTGCGGGTGAGCTGTGGGACCCACGTGGGCCAATCTAATTACAGGTGCTTGACTGCCCCAGGTCAGGGGAGGTCTCCCCAGTGCTTGGTCCCTAGGGCACCTGAAATGTCCCACTCTTTGGTTTGCTTCTCTGCAAGGCAGCTGCCTGGGTCCCAGGAACCCCACTGCCCACTCCCCAGCTGCCCCTCCCACCCGCTCACCTTCCAGACAGGTAGAGCACCCCCCAACCCCTCCCCCCACCCAGCACCCAGGCACCAGAAACTGCCACCTCCAGGGGCTGTGGGGAGTTCGGGACCCTGCGGAGGGTATTTCAGACCTTGTGCCAATCACAATCTCTGGCATCAGGCACGAGGTGCTGGGTGGGGAGAGTCCTGAGGAGGACTGAGCAGCGGACAGAGTTGGGGTTCCCCAGCATCAGGTGGCTACTTCCCCCCTTTATCCCTCTGGGCATACAAAGGGAGATTCCCCAGGATAGAGCTGTGGGCGCCCTCCTGTCCCAACCCCACCCCGCGGGGGCAAGGATGGGGATGGATTGGGGTGTATCTTCCAGGTGCCTGGTCTGGAGAAGGGGGTTTGGGCTACCGGTTAGCTGCTGGTGAGCATTTGGGAGCATGGGGGTCTTGAGGAGTCCTGATGAGCACCAGGTACCACTGCTGAGTAACAAGTCAGTCAACTGCTGGTTTCCCGAGTCCAAATGACTTTCAAAGATGGCACAGGAAAAACATGTTGAGGAAGGCCACAGGGAACCGGGCGTGTTGGTCTCCAGGAGATGTCATTTTATGAACCCGGAACTCGGTTGTTTTCGCTCAAGCTGAACCAATGGGTGTGGGGTGCAGGCACGTGTGGGGGATCCCTGACTGACTGGTCTTGACAGCCCCCAACTGCCCAAAAGGTCTTTCCAAAGGTACAGGCTGGGGGTGGGAGGAAGTGGTTAAGAAGTAAATTTCAGCTCATCAGGTGCCAAAAGCTTCTTTACCCTTGCTGGTCTTGAGGCCCGAGAGGCCATGAAGGTCATAAGGCACCTGGGGCAGCTCCATCCCCAAAACTTCATCTTCAAGGAAAGGGAGCCACTCAGAGATAAGAAGGTGCTGGATGTATTTAGGACACTTACTTCAAGTACAGGAGAAAATACTGTAATGACTTTTGTTTGTTTGTTTGCTTGCTTGCTTTTGGGCCACACCTGGTGATGCATGGGGGTTACTCCTGGCTCTGCACTCAGGAATCACTCCTGGTGGTGCTTGGGGGACCCTATGGGATGCTGGGGATTGAGCCCAGGTCGGCCACATGCAAGGCAAACGCCCTTCCTGCTGTACTATCACTCCGGCCCCTGTATTGACTCTTATGCCAGATCTGTAAAATGTAAAATCTGGAGATCTGTAGTCCCAGAAAACTATTTAAATGGATTTCAAATATCTGCATACAGATATTTTGGGATGGAGACAAGGTCAGTAAAGCGGTCAGTGAAATGCAGTAAAACCCGTGCTTGTGACCTCAGGCTGATCCCCAGCACCCAGAGTCCCTCAGTCATCACTGGAGAGGGACCCCAGCATCAGGTGGGGAGGAGCCCCAGCAACTGCCAGGTGTAGCCCCCAAACCTTCGCCAACAGATAAAAATGAGATGTTTAGAAAGGGAAGGAATGAGGGAGGTGGGTGTGGGCAAGGATAGAGCACTCGCCTCACAAGGACCCTGGGTAAGACCCTGGGTTCTGTCCTCATCACCTCGGAGTTAAACTCTAAAAGAACTCAGAGACAAGGAATGACATTAGGATGCATCTCTGCAGGAGAAAGGAGTGAAAAATACAAAGTTGAGGGGCTGGAGCGATAGCACAGCGGGGAGGGCGTTTGTCTTGCACACAGCCAACATGGCCGACCCAGGTTCGATTCCCAGCATCCCATATGGTCCCCCGAGCACCGCCAGGAGTAATTCCTGAGTGCATGAGCCAGGAGTAAGTCCTGAGCATCGCCGGGTGTGACCCAAAAAGCAAAAAAAAAATAAAAAATAAAAAAAAAATACAAAGTTGAACATCAAAAGGAATTGAGTGAAAGCCTTGTAGTTGACTATGTTTTTTTTTTTTCTTTTTGGGTCACACCCAGCAATGATCAGGGGTTCCTCCTGGCTCTTCACTCAGGAATTATCCTGACAATGCTCAGGGAATAATATGGGATGCTGGGGATGGAAACTGAGTTGGCCACGTGCAAGGCAAACACCCTCCCCACTGTACTGCAGCTCTGACCCCTGAAGTTACCATTTTTATTTTTTATATTTTTTTTGCTTTTTGGGTCACACCCTGCAATGCTCAGGGGCTACTCCTGGCTTTGCACTCAGGAATTACTCCTGGCAGTGCTCAGGGGACCATATGGGGTGCTGGGAATCGAACCTGGGTAGGCCACGTGCAAGGCAAACGCCCTACCCGCTGTGCTATCACTCCAGCCCCCAAAGTGATTATTTTGAAGGCGAAAAAAAAAAAAAAAGAAAGAAAAAACCTCCATGGGTTAGTGCAGTGGTCAGGCACTTGCCTTGCACACAGCTGACCTGAGTTTCCTCACGGGCTCCCCACGGGGTCCCCCTGAGCAAGCCCTGAGCCGATCCGAGGAGTAAGCCATGAGCTAGCTGTGGCCCCGGAACCAAAACCAAAACCAAAAGCAAACCGACAAACCCTAAAAGTTGGACATCAAAACACCAGATATGTCTGTTGTTGAAACTGTTCTGGGAAGAGTTTTTGTGTTTGAATGTAATTTTTTTTTTTTTAATGTATCAGAATGAGATTCTTCCAGCTACTCCAGTTTATAACCCAGCCAGAGACAGACTCCAGGGTTCTGCCTTGCATCGCCACCCCACCCCCACACACACACCGAGCGAGCGAGGTCTGAATGCTGCAGAGGGTGTCGGCGCCTCTTAACTAGGCTCACTCCTGAGCACTGCAGGGTGCAGACACGCCCACTCCCAGGGAATGGTCAAGAACATCTAGAAAAAGCAAGCAAATGCACAGTGAAACCATCTGGGGGATGGAAAAGCTCTAGAGACAGAAGGCCTTTGAGCAGCAGTATCATTTCTCATCATCTAGTGGCTGCATCTCGGGGGCGGTTCCTCTCACCCCCTTTTCAGTCTGTGAGTCCCCATTGTGTCCCCCAAGCAGCGAATGCTGGGTTTGCTTCCAGGGTTTGACAGTCCCAGCTGCTGACTGGGTGTGGGTCCACTTGCGCCATGTTCTGTTTTCAGCAGGACTCAGGAAGACCTCAGCTGGAGAGGAAGCTCAGCTTTCCTGTGGAGGCTCCAGATTCAAGTCCCAGCTCAAAAAAAAGAAAAATTCTTTGTTATAGTAGCAAACAATAGGATAAGGGGTAAGATGCCTCAGGCTGAAGAGACAGTCCTGGAGACTTCCAGCTCTGAGTCTGAAACTAAGGAAAGCAGCCCAGAACTCACGGAAGTGGGACCGACCGAGGAGAAGTCAGAGAAGGAACCAGTAAGTGGACGCAGCCCCTGCCTACCCAGGATATCAATCTCGTCCCCTGGGTACTCACAGGTCTCAGGAGAGAGGGGCCTTTGGGGGCAGAAGCTGTAACAGAAGAAGCCGGTCCAAGCACCAGGCTAGCTGCTTCCTTTCCCTTCTCTCCCTCTCCCAAGGATGCTTCTCTGCCCAGTGGTTTTCTGTCCCTTTCCTTTCCACCACTCGACAGCTCTTTGACCTGTGAGCTCCCGTTTCTGGAGCCTGGCTGGTGTGAGCAGGGTTAGGGCCTGCGTGCTGTGTGGCTCCGGCTCAGCTCTGCACCATCACGGGTGGCCACCAAAGTCCCATATTTCTCCCTGGCCATACACTTGTCCCCTTTCACCTAATTTTCCTGCCCCCCTCCCCTGAATGTGTGTGTGAGGTCAAGGCATCAAACCCAGGGCCTCAGACATGCATAGCAAAGCATCCCATGTGTGTCTTTTTCAAAAATTAGTCACGGTGTGCATTTTGCCTTTATCATGATTTCTGTCATATAAATTTTGTGGATAGATGATATTAAGAAACGAGAGAAGAGAGAAGGGATTGTAGTGATACTCTCTTGGGTAGGACATTTGTCTAGCGGGCTGAAGCTTTATCCCAGCTCCAGATGTGAGTCCCTGAGCCCTGCCAGTAGTGAGACCTGAGCACAGAGTCAGGAATAAGCTCTGAGAGCAGAGGGAAGAAGAGCGAAGGAAGGAGGGAGGGAGGGAGGGAGGGAGGGAGGAAGGAAAATTCAAAGCACAAGCAGAAGGGTGATGTGTTTTCATGGGCTCTCTCTCTGTCTCTCTCTGTCTCTCTCTCTCTGTCTCTCTCTGTCTCTCTCTCTCTCTCTCTCTCTCTCTCTCTGTCTCTCTGTCTCTCTCTGTCTCGCCGCCCACGTTCAGTGCTCTCGAGCCACTGTGTATGGACCAGGTCCGGATGGCTGTTGGCAATGGGCAGGTAAAGGAAGAACAAGGACCAAATTGTCATTTATTCAACCTCTCATCTATCCCATCTCACACACTCTTCCTTCTTAGTCCCTCATTCCTAGATCCCAGATCCCCAGATTCTGACTCTGACTCTCTCTGACTTTCTGGATTCTGACTCTTCTTCCGGTTCTCATCTAAGGAGATTATTTCAGATTACTAGGAGATCCGTTTAAGGGCAGGATCCCATCCAGGGTGTCTCAGTTTCTTCTTTCCTCAGTCAGTAATCTACTTAGTTATAGTAGATTTATTTCTAATATTTCTGGCAGTGTCATTCTGTATGAGCACAGGAAGAGATATATCAAACTTTAAGTTTAGAAGAATCCTGAGGACATCTCACTATATATTCCAAACCACAGTCCTCAGGCCAGGTTAGTCTTCCTAACCCCAGAAGGGTTCTAATCTTGCTGTTAATTTTGGATCATGACAGAGCTGGGCTGAACATCACTGGGCGTGGTCCCCGTGCCCCTTGAGCGCTACTTGGGAGAAGTTTTTAAAAACTTGGTTTTGTTTATTTATTCTGGGCTGGAGCGATAGCACAGCAGTAGGGCGTTTGCCTTGCACGCAGCCAACATGGCCGACCCGAGTTCGATTCCTCCGCCCCTCTCGGAGAGCCCAGCAAGCTACCGAGAGTATCTTGCACGCACGGTAAAGCCTGGCAAGCTACCCATGACGTATTCAATATGCCAAACACAGTAACAACAAGTCTCACAATGGAGATGTTACTGGGCCCGCTTGAGCAAATCGATGAACAATGGGAGGACAGTGGCAGTGAATTCTGGGCACTGGTGGTGCTCCAGGTCTACTCCTGGCTCTGTGCTTGGGTTTCTCCTGGTGGTGCTGGGAACTGGGGCCATCTGAAAGCAAGGCAAGTGCCTAACTCCTGCACGGTCCCTCTCACCTGAGAAATGGTTTCAAGTAAGATCTGTTTGCTGGGTGTGGAATTCTAGGTTGATGAGTTTTCCCCAGGACTTTCAAATGCTTCTTCACTGTGTGCTCACGTTTGTTGTTTCAGATGGGAAATCTGTTAATCCCACCTCTTCCTCTGAATCTCATTCTGTGCTGCTGAGAGCATTCCCCTTCCCCACCAGCTTCAAGTCATTCCATTGTGAGCACCTTACTCTGTCTTATTTTTCTTGCACATCAAGGAAACCTTTAGGTCTCTGAGTTGGAAGTTTCATGATGCTTGAGGGGAAGTTCTCTATTGTTTCGTCAAGTTCTTTCAAATTCTGTTCCTCTCATCTGTTGGCATTCTGGGGACACACAGAACTGCAAAGTAGTCCAGTTGGAGTCCTCTGTCTTTGATGACCTGTGGCCTTCCAGCCCGACCCAACTCTGCTTCTTCCTCTCCAGAGACTCGAGGACAGCCTGAACATCCAGTATGAGGAGAAGGTGCGCCCGTGCATCGACCTCATCGACTCCCTGCGGGCGCTGGGCGTGGAGCAGGACCTGGCCCTGCCCGCCATCGCCGTCATTGGGGACCAGAGCTCGGGCAAGAGCTCCGTGCTGGAGGCCCTGTCGGGGGTGGCCCTCCCCAGGGGCAGTGGTGAGCACTTACCCCGCCTCAGGGGCCATAGACGGGGCAGCAGATGCAACAGCAACAGAGTTTCCTGGTGCCTTGGCTGTCATGCTCGTCCACTGGGGGTGTAGGTGGGCTGAGTCCCTCACGACCTCTCCTGGGAGTGTGGAGGTGACATCCCCTGTCCTCTGTGGCTTTGTGTGCACACGTTAGGCTCTCTTCTTTTGGATAGGATTCTAGTTTTTGGCAGTTCTGGCTAGAGCCCATTGTAGGGCCCGGCTAACACTTACCTCCAGTGTGGCCATTGCTGGGTCAGTGTGTGGGAGGATGCGGTTTAGGCATCACACCCTCTTCTCGCTCGTTCTCACTTGTGAAACCAAGTGCATTCGGGTCCCAGGCCAGAGCATGTGTGAGGGCCATCTTCCCTGAGTTTCCCCCTCCCCAAGACATGACCCTTCACCTGGCCAGGGATGGCGCCGCTTCAACCCAGAGCCCGCGGCTTTGAGGCACACACAGCTCAGGAAGAGATGGGAGGAAATGCAGGTGGAATGTGGCCGTGCGTTGGGGGGTCTTATGGAGTGGTGGCCTGTGTGGGGGCAGTATCTAGAGGTGGGGGTGGGAGACAGTGCACATGTTTGGGACAGTCCTGTGGCAATTGATCATTCGGGCTGATGGCAAAGCACTGAGAGGGAGCAAGAGGCCTCAAGCACAGAGGCCCAGGAGGACTGAGCCACAATCCACTATTATTTTGTGAGTTGGGGTGTGAGGTCGCCTAGACATCAGCCTCAAAGTCCCGGCAGGCAGAGGGAGACTTCTCCCCGGCGGCCCACAACAAGGGTGGGGGTTGGGGCGGGGGGCTCGCTGGCCTTGAGCCGTTGGGAAAAGTGTGGAGATGGCACGATGTGTCCCTAGGGATCGTGACGAGATGTCCTCTGGTGCTGAGGCTCAAGAAGCTGGTAGGGAAAGATGCAAAGTGGAGAGGGGTCGTCAGCTACCTGGACCACGAGATCGAGCTCCTGGATGCTTCCACTGTAGAACGGGAAATCCGCAGAGGTGAGTTGCCTATGTTGGGAATGATCCAGGTCAAACTGTGTAGGTGGTGCCGTCTGGCCCTGCAGGCCTGTGCTGAGACCCCGGACCCTCCCTCTCTCCTTCAATCAAGACCGTGGGACCTCTTCCTCCCTCATCCAATCGGGACCCTGGGACCACTCACTCCCTCCTCCAATCAGAGCCCTGAGGATGCTCCCTTACTCCCGCCCTCCTTACTCCCTTCTCCAATTAGGGTCCTGGGGCCACACCCTCTCTCCCTTCTCCAATCAGGACCCTGGGATCGCTCGTCCCTCATCTAATCAGGGCTCTGGGGATGCTTACTCCCCCCCCCCTCCTTCCACCCTCCTCCAGTCAGGGCTTGGGGAGCCTTCCTCCTCCAAACAGGGCCCTGGGGCCAGCTCCCTCCCTCCTTCCCTCCACTCTCTCCCTTCCTTCCTCCTTCCCTATTTATTTCTCTCCCTCCTTCAGCTCCCTCTCTCCCCCTCCAATGAGGGCCCAGGGGCCACTCACTCCCTCTCCCTCCCCCTTTCTCTCCCTCTCCTTCTTTCAATTAGGGCCCTGGGGATGCTTCCTTGCTCATCCAGTCCGGACCCCAGGACCTGCTCCCTCCCTCCTCCAATCAGGGCCCTGGGGCCACTCTCTCCCTCCTTCAGTCAGGATCCTGGGGCCACACCCTCTCTCCCTCAGCCAGTCAGGGCCCTGGGGATGCTCCCTCCTTCCTCCATCAGGGCTCAGTTCCTCATTCACTTTCCCCTTTCTCCCCTTCCATCCCTTGGTTATGTGTGACTTTATGGGGATGGGGCAGCACACTAGCAGTCTACTGGGCCAGGCATCCTTGAATACCAGGAATCATAGCAGTTGAATGTGGTGACCGGGCGCTGTCGGGTGGAGCCCAGGCCTTTCGCCACACCCCGGGTCCCCTCTGTTCAGTTCTTTTACCCTATTAGGATCAGTGCTATGAACAGAGTCTGGGCTCAGAAACGTGTTTGGACATGTCCGCGTCCAAGAGGGCTGCGAGAGATTGTCCCCCACTCAGAGTATCTTGTGTTCTTCCAGGCACCACTGGAGGAGGACTCGGGTGTGGGGTGAGGATCCCCATTAGCCTTGGATGTGGGCATTCCCAAAGGCTGCCCCGCCAGGCCTTCCTCCTAGAGGGGACTCGTGTATGCTCCATGGTAGCTTATGTTCTTTCTTCGTGGGGTGTAGTGCATGCACCCCGCAGGGGCCAGTTCCTCCATTGGAAATACCAGCTTGAAAGGGGGTTCAGGGGCTAAGGTGCTTACCTTGCGTGCCACCACCCTGAGTTCATCCCCAGCATCACCCAGAGTGGCCCCTGAGCACAAAGCCAAGAGTCTTCCCTGAGCACTGCTTGGTGTGCCTCAGTATGCCCCCCAAAAATTCTTGACCAGAAACCATTGTGCTTCCTCCTCCGGTGACGCCATAGGAGACGCCCTGTCTTGTTCGACTCTTACTTTGTGGCCATTCCCTGAGTCAGCATGAGAGGGATTGGGGCTGCCTCATGTCCTGACCACCCGAGCACAGTGGCCCTCACTGGCAAGGAGACATGCTGAGTTATCTTTGGAGGCTCCTTCCAGCTCCTAGTCTAGCTCCCGAGGAGCGATTTTGCTCTGTGCTTGTTCAGGAATTGCGGCTGGGAGAGGCGCTTCTGGAGGATTTGCTGTCATAAGCCGTTTTGGTCCTGAATCTCGGTCCATTTTTCTTTTCCCTTCTCCTCCAGCCCAGAACATCATCGCCGGGGAAGGTGTGGGCATCAGTCAGGAGCTGATCAGTCTCGAGGTCAGCTCCCCCAATGTCCCAGATCTCACACTCATAGACCTGCCTGGCATCACCAGGGTGGCTGTGGGCGGCCAGCCAGCTGACATCGGGGACCAGGTAAAGCTTCGGGTTCCATGTTCACCTCTTCCTGCAGCTGACGGTGGGAGGGCGGGGGCGCTTGGGTGCCCCAGCGTCTCGGCAGTTAAAGGCTGGGTGCTGGGGCCAGGAGTAGGAGAAGAGATTCCCCCTGCCACATCACACGCTCCTCCCCAGAGTGTGATTACCAATGAAAAAATTGGTAATCTAGTTAGTTGGTTACTGGAGGGTGGGGGTTGTTTGGGGGCCACACCCAGCAACGTCCAAGGCATCCTCCTGGCTCTACACTTGAGACTCATTCCTGGCGATGCTGGGAAGTTCATGTGGGACTGAACTCGGGCTTTTAGCCCTACCCACTGTCCTATCACCCCAACCTCTAGAAATGTATTTTCCATGTGTTTCACACTTGGTTCACTTTTGGTTAATAGTTACTTTTTTGTTTTTGGGCTACACCCAGCAGAGCTCAGGACTTACTCCTGCCCATACCCCCGCAGTGCTTAGGGCTTCTTCCTAGCTCAAGTATCACTCTAGGTGGGACTTGGGGGGCAGGAAGGACCGTGTCAGATGCCAGGGATTGATCCTGGGTTGGCCACGTGAAAGGCAACCGCCCTACCTACTGTACTGAGGCTCCAGTGCCAGTTAATCGTTATGTTTTGAGGCATATTTAAGCTGGTGCATTTTAGGAAGGGTTTTCTGTGGATAGAGAGGATCTTAGAAACAGGTGTAATGAATATTTCCATATCTATGACCTTTAAAGATTCCTTCAGGGATCAAACAAGCAGTAGTCAAGCCTGCGTTTCAACAATTGATGCTTTCATGGCAACCTTCACATTTGAGGTCCCGAGAGAGCTGAGGCGTTAAACCCTCATGGTTCAGCCCTGTCCCTAGGGCTGTGTGTCTCGACGGCAGTCTTCGTGTCCCCACGCTAGCTTGTGTCTGTGGGTTCTGGTCTGGGCAGGAAACTCCCCGGGATTCTGAGCCTGCTGTGAGGGGGCCCATGGCCTGGCCTGCTCCCCTTCTTCTCGCAATGCTCACCCCCTCGGGTCTGTTTCCTCACAGATCAAGCGTCTCATTCGAAAGTACATCTCCAAAGAGCAGACCATCAACCTGGTGGTGGTCCCCTGCAACGTGGACATCGCCACCACCGAGGCCCTGAGCATGGCCCGGGAGGTGGACCCCGAGGGAGACAGGACCATCGGTGAGAGAAGCACCCACACAGCAGGGGGCGGGTTCCGAGAGTGAAAGCGCACCCCTGGCACTCCAGTCCTCGGGTGGAGACGTGTGTGCAGGCTGTGCTTACAGAGGGAGAGGAACTGGGCTTTTGGTCCTAAGCTGACCCACCTGCTCCCAGAGGCTGTGGTTGGTGCTGCTTGTGGGACTAAACCAGAAGAAAACTCGATCATTTAATGCCGGCCTGGGGTCAGAGGTGGGGCAGAAGCGACCCCAAGTGCCCCTCCCAGTGGACGCACGAGAGAGTGTTCCATCTGCTCTTGGAGAGGAAGGAAACTGACCCCATGTGACCGCAGTGGGCTCCAAGGATGTCAGGGCCAGTGGCAGAGGCCAGTTGACAGAGGACCGGGGACCAATCACTGACATCACTAGTCGGAACTCTCCGGGAAGTCATTATTAGCTGGGCCTTTCTGTCCCCTGGGCTCCCGCCATGTTCCAGGGAGGCCACAGGTGAAAATCTCATGGCCATGGGGGTCAGCTGGTAGGAGGGGCAGGGGACACAAGATGGAGACAAGACTTGAAGGGGTCTTGCCTGAACAAAGTGCCAGCAACCACGCTGTAGGGTTGGCTGTTTCCAGACAGGAAATGACACGGTTGGGGGTGGGCTCTAGGCTGGGAGAGTGGAGAGCCTTGAATGAGGACAGTAAGTTCTGGAGATGGAGGGAAAGTTCTGGAGTTGCCCGGCCGTGTGGATGTCGCAGAATCAATGTGTCCTTTAAAATGGCAAATTATATTTTTGTTTGTTTGCTTTGGGGCCACACCGTGTGATACTCAGGGGTATTATGCTCAGGAATCACTCCTGGCAGGGTCATATGGGATGCTAGGGTTGAAATCCAGGTCAGCTGTGTGCAAGGCAAGTGCCCTCCTCACTGTACTGTAGCTCTGGCCCTAATATACAAAATTTTAAATGAAAAACTGTCGGGCAATCAGTGTGGTGCATGTGAGACATAATTTAAAGTGTTCTTAAGGTTTTGGAAAGCTACTTATTCGAGGCAATTATTTATCCTGATAATTTCCTTTGGCTTCCCATGAATACAATTTTGCATGAGACATAATGATTATCAGTTATTAATAACTTTTAAAGACTAATTTTTTAAAATTTTTTGGATCACACCAGCAATGCACAGAGGTTACTCCTGGCTCTGCACTCAGGAATTACTCCTGGCAGTGCTTAGGGGACCATATGGGATGCTGGGAATCGAACCCGGGTCATCCACGTGCAAAGCAAATGCCCTACCCACTGTGCTATCGCTCCAGCCCCTTAAAGACAAATTTAAAAAAAATTTAATTTAGTTTTTATTAGTGAAACACCCTGCAGTGATACTAGACTCTCAGCCAGGGACAGGCACTTGAGCAGGCTGAGAGTGAGGCCTGACTTCCCGCCCTGACACAGTGACCTCTGAGCACTGCTGGTGGGGGCTCTGAAAGTCAAGAGAAGAAGAAACAAACTCTGTATGTGGCACTAGGGCTGAAGGGCTGAGACCCCTGGAAGGCAGAGCCTGCAGCTGTGGCTGTCCAGAGCCCTGCCCTCAGCAGAAAAGTGGGGGAAGCCCAGGACCCCCAGCCCCGGAGATGTGATGTCTCAGCTCCCCTCAAGCTAGCGCTGGGAAGCGGGGAGCCCTTGCATCTCTCAGCGGAGCCCTTGGGCTTACAGGTATCTTGACCAAGCCGGACCTGGTGGACAGAGGCACTGAGGACAAGGTGGTGGATGTGGTACAGAACCTTGTGTACCACCTGAAGAAGGGCTACACGATTGTCAAGTGCCGGGGCCAGCAGGACATCCAGGAGCGGCTGGGCCTGGCCATGGCCCTGGAGAAGGAGAAGCTCTTCTTCCAGGTGCACCCGCAGTTCAGGTACCACCCCGAGCTTGCCCAGGTCCACCCCAGGCTTGGGCCAGGCTCGAAGGCCACTGTCCAGAGCCAGCCTTCACGTTGGAGGTGCCAAGCTTTGGGTGCTTGGTCCTGGGTGATAAAAGGGAAATCCCCAAAGTATGATCATTAAACGTCAACCCATCAAGACACAGTTGCGACCGCAGCAATGCTGGAGCCCGCATGGCCCGAGCTGGTCACACAGCTCTTAGTTGGGGCATCCGGGACCTCCAGGTTCTGGGCTGAGTCACTTTGTGGCATGGAGAAAATTATGTATTATCTGGAAAAATATTGCATTGTGCCCTTCCGTGACATCGGGGGCAGGTGTCCCCACCCATTGGTGCTCAGGGCCTATTCCACACACGGTGTGGGGTCACACATGTCTGGGGTCACACACAATCCTGCACTCCAGCCTCTGAGCCTGGAATTCCCTTGACCAAACGAGGCCCTTCCTTGGACCAAGAGACCCACTGGGGTTTGAAATTAAACACAACTTATATATCTATTTTATAAGCATTACAAATACAGAGGTACATTTAAAATGAAATACAGGGGCTGAACTGACGGGAACAGCTTTAAGGCTCGTCTCATCACTCCCTTCCCCGACCCCCCAGCCCTCCCAAGCATCATAGGGTGGCCTGAGGAATGTCTCACCCTTAGCACTTGCCCTGAACTGCCCAGAGTGACCCCCAGGGCCCCGGGGAACTACTTGGGAGCACCCTCTCCCCTTAAGGATAAAATACTGTTTTGTTTATAGTTTGTTTTTGTATTGGAATCATACCAGCGGTGCTCAGGGGTTACTCTGACTCTGCACTCAGGAATTACTCCTGCTGGTGCTCAGGGGACCATATGGGATGCCGGGGATCAAACTTGGGTCGGCCGCATGCAAAGCAAGTGCCGTCCCTGCTGTGCTGTTGCTCCGACCCTGACCAGTATTTTCTGGCACCACCTGTGTCTGCTGTCCCTGCTCGCAGGCGGCTGCTGGAGGAAGGACGGGCCACCATCCCCTGCCTGGCCGAGAAGCTGACCTCAGAGCTCATCATGCACATCTGTGTAAGCCCTGCAGAGCCGTTCCCTAGACAGGCCCCGACAGGCTCACGGCTGTCTTGTCGCTGGGCTGGGTGCAGATTCAGGGGTGGGGGGTGGGGGTCTGGAGCAGGTTTCATGGCCCATTTCATGCCAGTTTCCATGAAGACCCCCCCAATTCTGCACCCAAGCCTGGGGGTTGCCTGTCAGGACCATACCTGGGCTGTGCTGTCTCCCTGGGCTGTGCCGTTCCCAACCCCCCCCCTCCCCCGGCTGAACCGTCCCCCCCAGGCTGTGCCCTTCCACCTAGCTATACCGTCTCTGGGTTCCTGGGTCATGAGTTTCATTGCTTGGGCTGGACTCGGGACCAGCCGGGTAGCTCCGGGCAGGGTAGCAGGGAGGCCCAGATTCCCATCGGTGCCCATCCACTGCCCCTGGGCCCTGAAGCATCTTCCCCTGGCCAAGGCATAGCGAGGGAAGGCCCGGGGAGGCAGGGGAGCTGCTCTGGCCTCACGGGCCTGCTGGGCTTCCCTCCCTTGCCCCAGAAATCGCTACCCATGCTGGAGAATCAGATCAAGGAGCAACACCAGAAGGCCAGTGATGAGCTGCAGACGTTTGGAACCGAAGTCCCGGAAGAAGAAAATGAGAAGATGTTCTTCCTGATCGGCGTGAGTGTCAGGGCGGACAGCCGTGGGCAGCTTTGGGCTCTGCTCCTAAAGCAGACACGGCCTGTCCACGAAACATTCAAGCGGGCCAGGGTGAAGGGCGGCTGGGGGGGAGGCATTAGAAGGGCCCGTGCACCTCTAGGACCTCGAGTGCATGCTCAGGACCGAGGGTAGTTCAGTTCCTGGCATGGCGCCCTCAGTGTGCCCCACTAGAACAGTCCCTCGGGACACACACACACACACACACACACACAATCACACAATCACACCATCACAGACACACATGCACACATACATGCATGTATGTACAGACACACGCATGCACACATACGCACACATACAGACAAGCACACATACACGCACACTGACACGCACACAAAGACACACAGATACCCACACGCAGACACCACAGAAACAGACACACATATATGCACATATAGGCACACACACATCGCACATAGACACGCACACACAGACACAGAGATGCCACATAGGCCTATCTACACAGATGCATGCACAGACACACACATTCACACACACAGACACAGATCTGTCCTCCAAGCCCAGGCCCCCAGCCCGTGCCTCAGGCTTGCTCTGGGAACATCTTGTCTGACGTGCTCCCAACGTGGTTCTTGTCTGCAGAAAATCAACATGTTCAACCAGGCCATCCAGGCGCTGGTGCAGGGTGAGGAGGCAGTGAGTCTGTCTGGCACGCGGCTCTTCAACAGGATCAGGTCCCTGTTCCAACGCTGGAGCTTGCTGATCGAAGAGAATTTCATGAAAAGTGAGTGTGAGACCCTGCCCTCAGCTTGGACAGAGGCGGTGTTGGTCGGCCAGAGGATGGGGTCAGTGGCCAGAGCCTGGCCCTGCGCCTGCTGCCTGGACCCTAGAGAGATGGTTCCTTTCAGTCCATCTGCACCGGCCCAGCTGAAGGGACACTCGGGCCTGGGTCACACATGGGGACACCTCTGGAATAAACAGGGTCCTGGTGACATGGTCGGGGGCTCGGGCCTTGATGGGGTAGGTTGTGTGGCGACATGACACAGCACGGAGGGACCAGCCTGGCCCTGCCAGATCCACATGATCCTGAAACAAGTATGAAACAGAGAAAACGTGATGCTGAGTTAATGGCTTGGCATTCAGGAAGCCCAAAGGAAACCCCGACTGACCCAGGACGGTGGGGGGGCCCCAGGTAACAGCTTGGCTCTTGGCGTGCTGGGCTGAGTCTCCTTCAGCCCAGTGAAAGTTCACGTCTTGGCAGGCAGCAGTGGGCACACATGTTGGCAACGGGCCTGCACGGGAGTCACCTGCCACACCTCTGAGCACAGGTCGTGTGGCCTGCCCTCTCGCCTGTGAATAGACACCGTCTGGCATGGAAGAACTCAGACCACGGAACTCTTAGAAGAAGCCACGTGTCCTCACAGCCCAGCGTCAATGGTGTTTTTCCAGACACGGCATATCGTGCGAATGATCATGGGGAACTAGGTGTGTCACACTCCCTCCAGAGTTAAAACTCAGTTTATGCATTCAAGAGCCCTACTGAGAGGGTGAGGAGAGCCCACAGGTGGGTGAGGATATTTCTAGGTGACATCTATCTGACCAGGACCCTGGACACTGCATCAACCTCCACTTCAGAAAGACAAAGAAATCCAATTTTCAGATGGACAGAAACCGGACAAAGACATTTCTTTGGCAGAGTCAGCAGAGATGACCGATAAGGACAGGGGACCTCCTGGCCCCATCATCCCTCAGGGAGATGCAAACACACCTCACACTTAGGGCACCTGCTGTCAGAAAGGATGGAGGGCCAGGAGTGTCACCGGAAGGTGGGAGATCCAGGGAAACACAAGACAGTGCGGCTGCTTCGGCCGCTCTCTGGCTGGGTCTCAGAGGGTGAAGCCACCAAGTTCCCAAGCGGCCAGCAGGCCCACACTTGTCCACTCCCCAGAGCACCCGCGCACGTGCACGCAAACTCGCGTCTACGAATGTTCTTGCAGCATCTTTCACGTGGACTAAAAACTGGGAGCAGCCCCAGGTCCATCTGCTGTGGGATGGAGCGGGTATCCCTCAAGTTGAGGGGGGCAGGGGATTGCCAGGGCAGCTATAGGGCACCCCATACTGGCCGTCCTGGGAAGCAACAGAAATTTCTCCCTACAGCGTGGGGGTCAGGTCCCCAAGGCCAGGGTGTTGGAGACGGCTTCTTTCTGACACTTCTTTCCCTGCCCCCTCCCATGGGGTCCTTCACCCGAGGACATCAGGCTGAGGGGGTCACACGCAGCCCCTCACTTTGGCTGCTGCTCTGTGCTCAGCACTGGGGCTGATGGAGCCAGGCGTGGTGGGGGGGGGCGGCTGGTCTTGTACCTCTGGACACACCCCCTGCTTGGCCCCCAGGACTGCTTGCCGGACCACGCAACGGCTCTCTCTTCAGTTCTTTGTCTGGGCCCCCACCTGGCAGTGCTCGGGACTTACTCCTGGCTCTGTGCTCAGGGTTCCCTCCCGACGGGTTCAGGGGACCCGGTGGCGTGCTGGGGACTGGACCTGGGCTATGCACAGGCAAGGCAGGCAGCCTCCCCGCTGTCTATCACTCGGGCCTTTGTCTTTAGCCCTTGAAGAAGGGCCACAGCCGTTTCCAGAGCGGCTGCTCCTTCCACACCATCTTCACCGCGGCGGGAGCTGCTTCGTGCTCTGCTCTTGGAAGGGCCGGTGGCACGTGGAGGACAATCGGGTTCCTGCTGGTGAGGTAAGGTGAGCTGTCTCTGCTCCCATAGGCCATAAAGCCATGCAGAGAGAAATCTACAGGTTTGAGCAGCAGTACCGTGGCCGGGAGCTGCCAGGCTTCGTCAACTACAAGACCTTCGAGATCATCGTGAGGGAGCAGATCAGCGCTCTGGAGGAGCCGGCTGTGGACATGCTGCACCGGGTTACAGGTCAGCTCCTGTGGCCAGCGGGAACGGGCCCAAGCCTGCCAGAGAGCTGCCCTCAGGAGGTGGCTGTGAGGACACAGCCCGGGCCCAGGGCTGTGAGGACAGCTGAGCCCCTGCACCTCCATCGCCTGTCAGGGCCAGATGCTAGATAATTCATTTTCTATTGCTTATTATGAATATCCGGGCTGGAGCGATAGCACAGCGGGTAGGGTGTTTGCCTTGCACACGGCCGATGCGGCCGACCCGGGCGACCCGGGTTCAATCTCTCCGCCCCTCTCAGAGAGCCCAGCAAGCTATCTTACCCACACGGCAAGGCCTGGTAAGCTCCCCGTGACATATTCGATATGCCAAACACAGTAACAACAAGTCTCACAATGGAGACGTTACTGGGCCCGCTCGAGCAAATCGATGAATAACGAGAGGACAGTGCTACAGTGCTCCTTCAGTTTTTGCTTTTTTGCTGCACCTGAGCCACACCCGGGGCCGACTCCTGACTCTGCTCTCAGGGCTCTCCTGAGTGGGCTCAGGGCCCCTATGGGGTGCCAGGTATGGAACCTGGATGGGCCGCGTGCATGGTCAGCACCCTGCCCGCCAGTGCACTTTGCAAAGTGCCGTGAGAATTCGGCTCTGATCAGGGAAGACCACCCTCTTGCTTTCTGCAGACTCTGAATGAAGGTGATGGAGGAGCTCACCAACTCTGCCTGTTTTTCTCTCTCATCAGATATCATCCAACTTGCCTTTGCGGATGTTGCCAAAACGAATTTTGAGGAATTTTTCTGCCTCTTCAAAACCAGCAAGGTGAAAGAACTCTGCCATTAAAAACAACAACAAAATCAGCCTGACGCTGGGAATGGACTCCTAGCTAGAGGCAAAGCCCACTCGCTCGCATGTTTGGAAGAGCCAGAAATAGGCGTGGTGTGGATTGAGAAATCAGACCTTGCTGACTCCCAGAGGTCTGCGGGAGTTTGGCGAGGGGTGGGTTTCAGCTCCTTCACTCTGTGTGGGCGGATTCCCAGCCCCTTTCCTACCGCCCCACCTGGGTTGGGGGGCTGAGTCTGTGCATCCGAGCTGGGGGGGGGGCGTCGCCCGCCCCTTAGCCCTTCCCACCCCCATCTGTGGCATCACCCATCCCCTTATTAATGGATTGCCTTGGATGGTGCTGGTTTAGCTGTAGCTGGGGCAGCTCTGGGAGGGAATTCAGAAATAAACTATTGAAAAGGCATCCTGAGAGCTGGGGGTGGAGGGTGAGGGACCCCAGGAACCAGATCCACGGAAGAGATCAGCCTCCATGGAAGAGATTACCCAGCACCTACAGGTCTGAACCCAGTATGGCCCTTGGGCCCCCAGACAGATCCTCTGCTGGAGAGAGGAAGAGAGGGAGGGAGGGGGGAAGAAAGAGAAGAGAGAGAAAGGACAAAGGAGAGAAGTGAGGGGGAATGGGGGAGAGAGAGAAGAGACAGAGAAAGGGGCATGAGGAGAGAGAGGGGAGAGAGAGCCCAGGGCCCCGGGTGCGTGGAGCAGGGTCTGGTCCGGGTGCAAGTCACGGAGGCCCTGTCTGTCCCCCTGTCTGTGTCTCATCCCCTGATTCGCTTCCTGATGGGAGGCCCCTATGTCTGCGTCTCAAGGCCAAGATCGAGGACATCAAGCAGGAGCTCCTGGAGGAGGCCGAGAGGATGATCCGGCTGCACTTCCAGATGGAGCGCATGGTGCACTGCCACGACAGCACGTACCGTGCCACCCTGCAGAAGGTGCGTGAGGAGGAGGCGGAGGCGGAGAGGAAGAAGAAAGGGGACAGGCCCCAGCTCTCACCCCCGTCCCAGCCCTTGGGCTCCATGGAAGAGATTACCCAGCACCTGCAGGCCTACCATGAGGTGGGTCCAGGCCAGGGGCGTCTGCAGCCCCCCTCACTCACTCCTGCCTGCTGGCACAATCTCTCTCTCTCTCTCTCTCTCCTCTCTCTCCTCTTTCTCCCTCTCTCTCCTCTCTTTCTCTCCCCTCTCTCTCCTCTTTCTCTCTCCCTCTCTCTTTCTCCACTCTTCTCTCCTCTCTCTTCCTCTCTCTCCTCTCCTATCTTTCTTCTCTTTCCTCTCTCTCCTCTCTTTTCTTTCTCGCTCTCTCTCCTCTCACTCTCCCTCTCTCTCCCTCTCCCTCTCTCCTCTCTGTTTCTCTCTCACACTCTTACACTCTCTCCCTCTCCCTCTCAGTCTCTCCTTCTCCCCCCCCCCACCACACCCATTCTCCCGACAGTGGGGTAGGGCCCCCTCCCCCTCCTCCTTGCTTGCTCTGCATTTGGCAGCCTAAAGCGCCTGTGGCACCAAAACACAACCCAGGCTCTTCCTGCGTCCACACAGCACGTCTGTGTGGTCACAGCCCTCTGACCGCACCTTCTGCCTCCCTCCCTGCACCTCATCCACAAGCAACACCCCAACATCTGCAGCCCCGGCCGCCCAGGGCGCACAGAGACAGGGCTATGACAGAGCCACAGAGACAGAGCCCTGACCAGCAACACAGACCAGTACCACCACAGAACCCCACATGGCCCCGTGACCCACATGGCCCCGCCCTCGCCGCCTCGGCCCCGCCCCGCCACCTTGGCCCCGCCCCCGCCGCCCCAGCCCCGCCCCTTCTGCCCCCAGGCCCGCCCCTTCTTCCTCTGGCCTCTGCTGGCCACTAACTCCTTTGCCCCCCCACCCCCCTTCCCCACAGGAGACGAGCCGGCGCCTGTCCACGCACGTCCCGCTGCTGGTGCGGTTCTTCATGCTGCACACCCTGGCGCAGCGGCTGCAGGAGGCCATGCTGCTGCTGCTGCAGGACAGGGAGGGCGTGGGGAAGCTGCTGCAGGAGCGCGGGGACACGAGCGCCAAGCGCAGGTTCCTCAAGGAGCGGCTGTCGCGGCTCTCGCAGGCGCGGCGCCGCCTGGCCCAGTTCCCCGGCTAGAGCGTCCAGGGTCGGGCCTCAGTGTTGGGACGGCCCAAGGGACAGACAGAAAAGCCTGGCCCCCGCCCCTGGCCCCGCCTACGACAAGCCCTGCCCCCCCGCACCGCCCCAACTGGCCCCCCCGCCCCCATCCCACGCCCCGCCCCCGACTGGTCCACCTCCCAGACCCCTGCAGTAAAGGCCTCGAACCCACCCCAGTTCCAATTCAGGTCCTGCCCTGCCATGGTCCCGCCCCAGCCCCACCTCGGGCCCCGCCCTTCACTGGCCCCGCCCCGCCCACGGCCTGGCCCCGCCTCCGGGTCTAGGCCCCGCCCACAGCCGCAGGCCACGCCTCCGGCCCCAGCCTCACCCTCAGTGCCTCCCTGAGGAACAGTGCAGGCTCCCTGCAGGCATGTGTCCCCTCGGGAGGACAGGTGAGGGTGAGAGAGGACACCACAGAAGCCAGGTAACCCCACTCAGGGGCCCTCTCTACACTCTTCCTGCCACTGCACTCCCTGAGGGCCTCTGCACACGTGCCCAGAACTCTAGAAGTTTCTGTGTCCACCTGCAATGCACAGCACCCTGCCCCCGACTCTGCAGTAAAAGACGCCCCTGGGCCCTACTCCTCATTAAAGGACTCCCTGACTCTGACCCCTATAGTGTTTGTGGGGAGCAGGCAGAGGTCTCAGGAGCCTCCGGAACTCAGAAGGGATGAGGGCAAGAGCCAGGCAGAAGCATGCACAGTTGGATGCAAGCTCAGAGGAGATAGTGCGGGCAGCACGGGGCATCAAGGGAATCGAGCGAACAGGAGCAAAAGTCACCCCATGGACAGACGCGGGGCGTTTCTGGGCCGCCCCAGCCCAGGGTCACCATGGAAAGGTGCAAGAGACAGACTGTAGCCAGGCAGTGGGCTTGAAGGAGGCCCAGCGGCATGGCCTGCAGAGATGGACCCTTCCCTCCTTCCCTTTGAGGGAGGTGGGGGAGTCCCGTGGGCCGGGCACCTGGGGTCAGCGGCAGAGCCTGCCATGACTGGAAGGGCCAGCACTGCCCTCAGCAGGAGTCTTGGCACTGTGAGCACTTGTTTGGGGGCCTTGTGCAGTGTGTGTGGGGGGGGGGGAGGGAGAACCCCTCACCCGCCGTCCCTTGGGGTCCAGAGGACTTTCCTGCCACCTTCCAGGCCTGCCTCGAGTTGAACCCTTGCTCCGAGGACACCTCGGTTCTCTGCTCCTTGGCAGTTAGGGATGAGGTCGGGGTGCAGGGCTGCTGGTCGGAGCTTTCTGGCTGGTGCTGTCTGTCCCCACCCCATGGCCCAGAGGGGCGGCTTTGCATGTCACTGCTGGCAGCTAGACACGGGGTGGGCAGCTGCGTCCTGGCAGGGCTTGGGACTTGGAACCACGGATGCATAGAAGGAGCACTGTGGGGGGACACTGTGCCATGTCTAGCCGCCAGCAGGGACATGCAAAGCCGCCCCTCTGGGCCATGGGGACAGATAGCACCAGCCGCAAAGCTCCGACCAGCAGCCCCGCGGGCATCCTGGCCTCATCCCTAACTGCCAAGGGGCAGAGAACCGAGAAGGCGAGAAGGCGTCCTCGGAGTGAGGGTTCAGCTCGAGGCAGGCCTGGAAGGTGGCAGGAAAGTCCTCTGGACCCCAGGGGACGGTGGGTGAGGGGCTCTCCCCACACACACGCGCTACACACGGCCCCCAAACAAGCGCCCACAGTGCCGTGGGTGCGGGGAGTGCAGGCTGGAGCATGACAGGCTGGTCTGAGCATCCTGGGGTTTGAAGCCACAGGCTCTCTGTCCACTAAGGGGCGGGGCACACGGCCCACCTGGGGTCCAGAGGCCACGGTCACTGCTCCAGGTCAGGGACGGTACAGGGACGCTGCCCGCTGAGGCCTCCCAGAGCACGGCTGTCCCGAGAGCTGGTCTCACCCAGGCCCTGCCCCTCTGTGTCTGGTGCCCTCTGACCCACTGGGCAGCACCTCCCGCCTGTCCTTGGGGCAGTGGCCATGTGGACATCGACCCCGGCCGCCAGGGGGAACGTCAGCGCCTGGGTCCCTGCCCGAGGCCTGAAGGGATTTTGGGGGGCGGTGCATGCTGCTCCCGGCCCTCGCCCCTGCCCAGTCCTCCTGTGGCAGTTTCCTGGTGATTCACGGGGGGGTGGGGGGGGGATACATTGCCATTGCGTCCCCTTGAGAAGAATTTACCCCAGGGAGGGCATCATCAGCTGGGGCCTGGCATGGACGGGAGACCTGAAGGGCACTTTGCACGAGTCCACCAGGAATGACCCTGACGGGGCCTCCCCACTCTAGGCTCAGCACTGAGGCCCCCCCTCTCCCTGTGTCGAACATTCTAGAATGTCAGTGATGTCACTCCAGGCAAGTCTAGGGCCCACTGGGATGGAAAGCCTCAGTTTCACCCCAGAGACCAGGCCTGCCTGGCCTCATGCAGGTGCTCAGTAAACTTGGGCTGGGGCGGACATGTAGGACAGCAGGGAGGGCGTCTGCCTTGCACGCAGCTGACCCAGGCCCCATCCCCGGCTCCCCACATGGCCCCCAGGAGCGATTCCCAAGCACAGAGCCAGGAGTAACCCCTGAGCAGAAATCTCCACCTGGACCCAAACCCTAAGAATATCCAACAGTTCAATGAGTTCTTTGGGGGGGGGGGGGGATGGGAGGAGGGGGACGCACCCAAAACCCAGCGACCAACAGCGACTCAGTGTCCGTAATGACACGCACACCCCGCCTTGCTCTGTAGGAACCAAGGGCCTCCCGGGCGCCCCGAGGTGCAGGGGCTACAGCGCGGTCAAGACAAGCTTGGGTCCCCGCCAGCAAATCTCTGAGGGGTCCCTGCGAACGCCCCGTCCTCCCTCTCGAACCCTCGCAGGACCATCATGGCCGAGGCGCCCGTCCTCTGGGCTGGGGGCTCGCCTGGGCGCCCTGCGGGCAGTGGTGGCCTATGTATGTGTGCTGCCTCCAGGGGCCGTGGGGAAGGGGCTTCCAGGCACGTGGGCTGGGGTGGGACTAGGCAGGGTCTGGGCGTCTCCTGGGGACAACGCTTGCCTTGCACGCTGCTGACCAGACCAGTGGCCACTGGCCTGCTGGAGGCTGCGTCTCAGTGGGGCCAGAACCACCCCCTCCTCCCTGGGCTTGCGTCCTGCTCTGCCCGTAAACTACTGGGGGTCCAGGAGGGCAGGGGGTGGGGGTCCCCACGGGGGCAGAGCCGGGGAGAGCGCTATGTACAGGGTAGGCATCAGGGAGAGGAAGGACCCCAGAGGGCAGCAGGAGATATGTAAGAGGGGACCCCAGCCTCCACCTCCCCTGCCCTGTCAGGAATTCAAGAGCATTAGGAAAAACAAGAGAGTGCATAATTTATTCATAGGATTTCCACAGACATTTCTAGAGACACAACAGAAGACAGCCAGTGGTCCAGGCACAGAGGAACGGGTGGTCCCAGGAGACACGTCCGGGGGGCTGGGCACTGAGCCCCTTCCAGACAGCCACAGTGTCCTTCTGGCCAGGGCGTGTGGGGGTCTCCCTGCTCCCCCTTTCCCGCCAGGAGGCGCCGCAGAGGTCACTGTCCGAGAGCCCGGCTCCTCTTGGCCCTCTGTGCTGCAGCCTGCTCATTTCCAGAACATTCCACGAGAAGCCAGTCTCTGTGCACTGGACCAGGGCGAGTGGACGCCCAGCTCAGAGGCCCCTGGCCGCAAGGCCAGGCAGGCTGAGGTAGGTGTGGGCGTAGCTCGGAGAACCTGATTCGAATCCCTGATTTCCCCCCCTGAGTGCCCGGGGAGGGGGCATAGCGCCCCCCCCCCCCGCCTGGGTCCAGCTCTTGTCCAGCAGCAGAGAGGTCACCAGAGCCCCAGGTGGGGGAGAGGAGTGGACACGGCCAGCCAGCCTGGCGACAGACAGAGATCCAGGTGTGGGTTGAGCCCCGGCAGGAACCAGCCCTGAGTCTAGAGGCTTGTCTGAGTGTCCAAGAGTCTGAGCTGGACGGGTCAGCCACGGCTCCGGGTGCTGCCAAGTCCACTTAGCCATTGGCCTGAGGGAAGAGGGAAGGTCATGTCAGGTCACATCCACAGACACCAGTGTCTGGGGATAGGCTGGCAACACCGAAAGCCAGGGCACCCCTTCCCATGCGGGGACAGGCCGGGCGGGGGGTCTGGGCCCGAGGCCTTACCCCTAGTGACCGGACTCTCCCCCGGTCCACTCTGGGCTCTGATCTTGTCTGCTCGAGTGCCCAGGGGCCTCGCCTGGGGGTCTCGGCACCCCTGGGATGCCCTTTGCCCAGCCGTGGCCCAGAGTGGACAGGACACCTGCGGCTCTGCCCGAGACCCCAGGAGCCGGCAGCCCCCCACCCACCCAGAGTCCCCCACGTGTCCCAGCCCGGGACAGGGGCCGCCATGGATGGGGGTCCGAGGTGTGTACCCGCATCTGCCGGTAGATCCAGTCTGTGAACACAGACACGTTCCCGTACACGCCTGGCCGGTTCACGTTGGCACAGCCCGAGCCCCAGCTCGTGTCCCCGACCAGCCACCAGACGCCGTTCTTCAGAGTGACCAGGGGGCCCCCGCTGTCGCCCTGCGCAGAAGGGACGGGGTCAGGCCGGGAGGGATGGCAGGGGGCAGGCAGGCAGGGGCAGCGGGGGCAGCGAGGGGCTCACCTGGCAGGAGTCCACCTGGCCCTGCAGGTACCCGGCGCAGAGCATGGCGGGCGTGACCAGGCCGTTGTAGACGTAGCGGCTGTTGCAGCGCCAGGCCTCGATGAGCCGCACCTGGGCCACGTTGAGCAGGTCTGACGTCTTCCCTGCACACACGGGTGTCAGCAGCCAGCACCCCCCACCCCCGCCCTCCGGGAGCTCAGGAACACGAGGCCCGTGGGAGATGGCTGCTCTGGGCCGGGTCAGGGAAGGCCTTCCTGCCTACGTTCTAGAACCTTCCTGTTGTCCCTCTGTGGGAGGGGCTCATCTGTGTTCTAGAACCTTCCTTCTCTCCCTCTGCGGCAGGGGCCCGTCAGTGTTCTAGAACCTTCTTCTTGTCCCGTCTGTGTTCTAGAACCTTCCTCTTGTCCCTCTGCGGGAGGGGCTCGTCTGTGTTCTAGAACCTTCCTCTTGT